CACACAGTTAAAGAACATATTGGAAATGGGTGGTCTATGTATCAAAGTCACTCTGACTATTGATGCCGAGTCTGTCTTCAAGTCTTTGTCTAGCAAAGATCTGAAGAAGCCCACAGAATGTACTCTGCTTGGGCACATTAGCTGGATCCGCCAGATGATGGAGCGCGGAATCGTTGAAAGCGTTCAATGGTGTGACACGCGGGATATGACTGCCGATGGTCATACCAAAGGTAGTATTGACCGCGCGTTGCTCCTACAAGTAATGGCCGGCCAGCAATCCTTCAAGCACGAGCTGAAGAAACATACTCCGTATAGGGCGGGCAGGTCGTCTCAGGACGGCCCTGCCTCCCGAGCTAGCGGGGAAACCCGCATGCAGGTGCGCTCTAGTAGCGAGGAAACTCGCCGGTAGCGAGGCTACTCGCGCGCCCTTGCCTTGTAGGCAGCCGCTGTTGCCTAGCACTGTTTTTCCGTGTAATGTAGAAGTGCGGTGCCTGCTCGTCTCCTCCCCCTCCGACTTTAAACGGAGAAGGTTAAAGGCGAGGTATATATCGAGCATGCACCGCTGCCGTGCCTGGCTCAAGCCGGGCCCGGCCTAATATGTGACTGTGCCTCACCGAGGCGCACGACTTGTATCTGAGATCGGAAAATACCTTTTCCATTGAAGATGCCCCTTCTATCCTTTACTCCAGATCCCATGCTTCGTCTCGCTCTCTTGCTCATGCGATATGAGCCAAAGCCTGGGATATGGGAGCGCCTAAGGCGGAACATATATCTAAGCTTACCAGTGCGTTTTCGACTCGCATTGCCACTCTCGACGCGTGGTGCGAAGGGGTCCGGAGGGACAAGCTTGGCCTCGAGAGGCCGCAAGAGTTGGTCTCCCTGAGGCGGGCGGTCCTGGGGAAAGAGCGGGGCTCGTGAGGCCATTGACCGAGGGAAGGAGGTAGGGTGGGCCGAACTAGCTAGAGCCCCCCTTTGGCCCTGAGCAGAGTACAGTGGAGGCCAGTCCACAAGAAATATTCCACAATAAACCCAACCCTGAGATCCCAGGACGACCAATGATTTTTGGTGTGGGATTGTTGCGCCCTCCACTTCAAACCCATCGACACCCAAGAAACCCAGTGCACCCTGGAGGCAAGCAGGGCGTTTCTTGGCACGGGTCGCCACTGTAAGGCACACCGCCCTGGAAAGAGCCTCGCACTCTCTGGGTATCTTGACCACGGCATTGGCGTCCGCCTGGGAGATCCACAGACACAATTGATCGTCGACTCCCAGGAAAATATGCGAAAATATGGGAAGTGGGGGGAGGGAAGACGAAAATCCAGAAAATATGAGAAAATATTGGGAATCCTGTCATTTGTGTATTTATTCGTGTGTCCTTTGGCCCCTTCAGCACATCTGTCCAGGGGCGCTGCATGCGAGAGCGGTGGCGACGTGGGTCGCCAAGGCCAGCTCTCGCTCGCAGCACTCCAGATGTTCACTCCTCTCTGCGTGGGGGGTCCAGAATGCCCCCAAGGCACTCGGGGAAATCTGGGCCCCAAACTTGGCAAACTTGGGCCTAGCTCCCATTTAGAAGCAATACCATCGCCACCCTGATTCGCGACCTCCTTAAGGACTGAAACGCGTAGAACCGCCGCGATTCCGGGCACAATCCACACGCTACCAAGAAGCAGCGCGTGAGGGCGCCAGGAATTCGTGGCCGATGGATTTGGATGCTGCGTCGGGCGCAGGGTGGGGCTGGGGGAACACACGAGGACACCGCCCCTGGTCACTCCGAGTGCTCGGCCGCACAAAGGTTCATGCAACGGGCAGGTCGGGCCGGCATGGCCCTGGCCTGCAGCAGCAGTTTGACTGCCAAGCCGGTTTTGGCGGGGAACTCGGGAAATCAGACGATGAAGCCCAGGTGGTGCACGCTGCTCAGGCCGATGATGGACATGCCCCCCTCTCAGGCCCTGCCTGCGGGGGGGTGTGCCGCATGCGACGCACGCTGCTCACGGGCTCGTACATCGTGGGCAGGGGCTGCATTGCTCGGAGCACCAGGGATATGAGACGTACCATCACCCGCTGCACCTCCCGTAGACGCGCTAACGGCAATGTAGGTAACGGCGATGTAGGTTTCGGGATTGTATGTGGAACCGGCTCGTGGCCAAAAAAGCAAACGCAGGACATCGTGGTTCGTGCTTTCCTGCAGTTCGCTGCGTCCTTGTCGCTCGGTGCACCCGCACGTCTGAAATGTAGGAGAGTGTGGTTCGTGATTGCCTACTGTCTGCTCTGCGCGAGCTCGGTGCCGCAACACACCAGGTTCCCAACATCGCCGCTAACCGACGTCGTTGTCAGCGCGGCCTCGGACCTCCGGGCCGAGCAGCCGAGTCCCGTTGCCCTCGCAGCTTCGCGTGCGGCCCCTGCGCATCCGGCTCCGCGGCAGCTGCCGTGGCACCCCGTCGGCCTCGGCCTCGACGCGGCGCCTCCTGCCCACCGAGTCGCAGGAGCTGCCTGCGCTGCTCCTCACGGAACTTCGACGCCTGCTCGGTTGCGGTCCTCAGGATCGTTTAACCGATCCCCATCCCCATCCCCATCCCCACCCCGAGCCGCACCGTCTCATCCGGCCAGTGCGGCACAGGCCACGCGAGTGGGGATAGGGATCGGTTAAACGATGCTCATGTTCCGAAGGCGTGTTGCACTTGAGACTTGATGGGTTTTTGCAAGGTCCCGATGCGCGCCGCGGCTCCCTCCTTGTCGTCTAGGGGCAGGTCGTACTCCGCTTCGGGCACCAAGAGTGAGCCCACGTTGATTGGGAGCTGCCTCCCGCTCAGGATATCCTCGACCGTGATCTGAGCGGCAGCAGGAGGGGACGCAACGGGTGGCTGGCCACGACCTCCATCCACTTGGAGATGTAGCTCCTGCACCAGCGCCTTGTGGTTCGCCTCCGCAGTTGCCAGGCCATCACTTAGCTTCTGAACTGCATATCCGTGAGCCACGTTGCCTCGATATCCTGCATGGCTCCCTGCATCATCTGACTGCCACTGCCATCCATCGTTCCAGCGCGGTGCACTAGAAGCACTGGGGGCCTTGGCGAGAAGCTGCAGAGGAAAGGAATGGCTTTGGTCCCCGCTGAAGTTGGCTCGCAGGAACGCGTGCCCCTCTGAAGAATTGTTCCTGCAACGCTGCTCGGGCGCAGAATGGCTTGAGCTCAAGTGGCTGAGGAGGTTCGAATTGTGGACGACGATCAATGGATAGGAAGCACGATGCCAAATAATTACCAGATGTCTAAACCATGTTTAAGCCATGTCTGAAACCTATAAGCGCATCATGTAGACATTCTTATAACATATGTCAAGCATTTGAAACACATGTTCAACTCAATGCAAGGATTTTTAGGGTGTCCATCGTCATGGCATCCACAATGATACGAGGAGCTGTCGTCTCTTCCCTGGCGGAAGGCGGCAGGAGGTCGGCGGACGTATAACGAGGCCGCCTCCGCGGGCAGAAGGCTGCCGGAGGGCGGCGAAAGTACAGATGCGCCCCTCGGGAGATGAAACAGTTTTTGGGTTCAGGGCTTCCAGAAACCGCCATTTCTTTCTAACAGTCGAAGAGGGAAAACCAGCATACACACTTCTGGCGCTCCGCGCGGATTTCTTGGATCCGCGGAAGGGACCCCTCGCGGCGCCTCCGGCGCCGCCCCTGGCGCGCTCCGCGCGCCAGGGAGGGGGGTCCGGTGCAGAACCAAGAGATGCGCGCGGAGCGCCGAAAGTTTATGTTTATGCCGTTGTCTCTTCGACTAAGCAAACTGCATTTTTTGCCATCGCGGAGCTCCCACCCGTAGAATGCTCGCGCCTCTCAAGCCCTTGAGCCTCAGACGGCACCGCGGACTTTCTCCCTTCCGTATGTGCTCCAGTCCTTTGTCATTTTCTGCCTCTCTCCCTTCTTCCTCCTCCCTCTTCCCGAGCATGGATCCGCCTGGCCCGACCAGACCGTCCCAACTGACCCGGCCCACCATACAATCGCAAAGATTAGGACCCCCCGAAGAGGACACGATGAAAGACAAGGGGGCGGGTGCTCCAGTTCCATCGCCCATTCGACTCAAGTCCGCTTCCTGTGTACGCGATCGAAAAACGCAGCACGCTCTGCCGCCTTCGCCTTGAAGACAGCACACTTGGGCGCGGCATGGGGGCATTTGTCGCACGGATCAAGGCGGAGCTCCAGTTGCAGAGGGCCGATTTCGATGATTTCAACAAAGGCGAGTGGATTACAGTATTCGGATCCAGCAGCAATCGCATCTGCATGAAGAACCCAATCCTGTACCACATCTACGAGATACTGTCAGCCCTTTTCCTGACAGGACTATGGATCTGGTCCTATGCCGACGGTTGCGGCGTCACATGGTTCGCGTTCCTGACGCACTGGAGCCTGACCCTTCAGACGGTGTACTCTTGGTTCGACTTCTTCACAACATTTATGGCAAACGGTATGAGTTCTGGAAGGTTCGAGAGGGTGGAATCGATTCCTCTCTATGCCCAGGTCACGTGGTTTCTTTTCGGCCTGATGGTGCCCACGACGTTTTTGGTGTTCGTGCTCTATTTTGCGCTCTTGGTGGATTGGAATGACCCGCCAACTGCAGTTCTTTCCTACCTGACGCACGGTGCGAACTTCGTAGTGATGATGGCTGACACGATTTTGTCGAACAAGCCGTATTACCTACTGCACGGGATGTATTTTTTCCTGTTTGCTGCCGTATACGCCGTGTTCACATACATTTATTATTTGCTTGATGGCACCAACTGCGAGGGAGACCCCTACATCTATTCGGTGCTCAACTGGGGGGACAATTTTGCCAGCGCCAGAAGGCTCAGCGGGATCATCCTGGTCGTTGTGGCCCCAGTGATCAATTTCCTGTTCTGGATCGTGATATCCTTCTGGTTTCCAGGCCTGCGCCCCAAACCCGGGGCGCAGGAGGCGCCCGCCGCCGACGCGAACGTCTAGGGCAAGGACAGGCCTGCATGGGTTCACCATCCTCCTCCTCCTCCTCCTCCTCCTCCTCCTCCTCCTCGCTTCCCCCCCGATGAGGTGCTCCTTCTCCTCCCTCCTCCTCGTCCTCGCTCCCCCCCCAAGTGAGGTGCACGCTCGATTCTCGTGCATCGTGGAGCGAAACGTGCTCCCTGCTCTCTCCGGCGCCGCCGGGCCCTCCAGGGCGCCCCGCCCGCCGGGTCCCCGATTGGGGGAACGCCGGCCGGGGCCTGTCGTCCGCGCGGCCGCCCTTGCCCTCCAGGGCGCCCCCGACCGCAACGGGGAGGAGGAGCTGCTGTGCGGGCAGTGGTTCTGTCCACATTCAGGGCGTCTTGGGCTTTCGTGGAAGGGGCGCCGCAAGGCCGAGGCGCACTGGGTATGGACACAATTCGAGCCCCTATAGCAGGGCCCCGATTTTTATCCAAATCCAGTGCTCCTCGGCTTTCTGGGGAAGGGAGCCCGAAACCCCAAGCTGCAGTGGATATGGACACAGGTTTTGCCCGCAGAGCTGCTGCGCCCGCGCGGGGGTCACGCAAAGTCGTCGCGCTCGGGCCTGTTTCTCACCACCAGCCTAGGTCGGAAGCTGGAGCACATACACTGCCAGTGGCGGGCGGTGTTTCACTGCCAGGACTTGTTGGAGGGTCGGGGACAAGGTCGGGGTGGTGTGGTGTATACTTTTTCCCCCGTTTTCCTTGGGAAACAACGAAACATGTATACACCAGGATCCCATATACACCAGGATCCGCGTTCCTGTGCGAGTTTCAGCGCATGGTCGGGAAAAGCGTCGGTGTATAGAGCTCGTTTCCCTGGTAAAGTTAGAGGGCGAAGAGGTCCTCCTCCTCCTCCTCCTCCTCCTCCTCCTCCTCCTCCTCCTCCTCCTCCTCCTCCTCCTCTTTGTCCTCCTCGTCCCACACCTCCTTGCCCCCTCCAACTTATGGTGGTGGTGGTGGGAAACAGGCCCGCCAGTGAGGGTGGCCGTTTTCTGGCTCTTTCCCCCCCCCGTGCAAGCACCCCGCGTACTTGCAGAATGGACTGGCTTTTTGATCGTGCATGCCGCCGTGCGAAAGCAGGGCGGCAATCGAGGCATCGGGGTGCACGCAGCGAGGGGCACGCGAGCATTTGTGAGTAAGCGTATTCCCTGTGATCGCTGGTGCCCTCAAGCCACTCGGCAATTACTCAATCGCTTCGCTGATTCCGCTGAGTTAATACTGACTGTATCATCGCTGGCATTTGCCTGTGTGCGCGCGGGGGCTGAGACATTTGTGGGCGTCGGTCGTGTCCCTGAGTTGTCGCGTGCACCTCGCCTGGTGGGGAAACCATGGCAGGGTAGCTGCACGGTAACACTCGGAACACGCCCCCCCCCCCCCCGAAGTTCCGTCGGTGCCTCCCGTCACCGTGCCCAGGTCGTGGGTCGGAGGCGTATTGGATATTTCTCGGGTTCCCTCGGAATGCCTCTCGGGTGCCTCTTGGAGGCTAACTGACTGCTTCCTGGGGCGTCGGGGGAGCCCCAGACACACGAAAGACATCTCGCGAGACCCACAGGCGCATTCCCAAACGTCCCAGCACCCCTACAGTCGGCCTTGATTAGTAGGTCGACCCTGCCAAGTCAAGGGTACCCGTGTGTCCTGTGTCTCGCGACCCATGCCTCCCACATTCCTATGGAAGCTGGGAGCCCTTGTTTTGTCCTCTCGCGTGTCCTCTCCAACCAAGTCCGACTGTGCGGCATGTTGGCATGGGGGGGCAGCGGGAGCCGGGCTTGAGCAGCCGTTCGCTCTCCGACCGAGGCACGGCCGGGCTCGGACTACTCGTGCCCTGACGGGCCCATCTTCCACCACCATTGCCACAGGGAGGAGAGGGAGGATGATGATGATGATGATGAAGAGGAGGATGAGGAGGAGGAGGAGGAGGAGGAGGAGGAGGAGGACGAGGACGAGGACGAGGAGGAGGAGGACGAGAAGGAGGTGGTGGAAGGGGAGGGGGAGGAGGAGGGGGAGGAGGAGGAGGTGGAGGAGGAGGAGGAGGACGAGGAGGAGGAGGATGAGGACGAGGAGGAGGAGGAGGAGGACCTCATCTTGCTCCCTTTTCCCCAGTCCTACACATGGTAGTGGTTTTGGAACATCTGCCCAGCATGCCCTCTGCCGAGATCCAAGTGCCGAGTCCTCTGCCTTTTGCCGAGATCCTCTGGATGTCCAGGCGTGCAAGGGGCAGCACTTCCCTGCCGCTACGATAGGCCGAACAGCAAAAGTGGGTTGGACCCCACTTTTGTGATTCACGGCAGAACAGTGCTGGAAGCCACCCTCCCTCCGGCCGTGTGGCGGTATTGGACGTTTCAAGCTCACGACCCTTGACACTTGAGGCGAGGGCCACACTTTGAGAGCGACCTGCTGTTCATCCGTGCATCTGCTGTAGCTTCAGATCCAAGATCCAGCATATCTAAATGCGTTGCTGGCGAGTGGAACGGACCGATCTTCGGCCGTGCATGGTCATGCGACGGTGAGTGTAAGATTATTCCGAGAGGGTTGGGGGATCAGGAGGATGAGAAGGAAAGGATAAGAGGGAAGCATGAAGAGTAGGAGGCGAACAATGGCCAGAAGAAGTCCACCATGCAGCAACGATGTCGCGGCACGCCTGCCAGGCCCAAGTCCCCAGATGAGTTCATACAAGCATGTTTGTTGTTCTTTCTTGTCGGCGATGGGCACCAGCCGTGTGATTATTAGACATACCAAGATGCATTAGCATGATGACCAGGTTAGCCCCAAGCGAGAGCTTCGTCTTGACCAGGATCCACCTTCCAGTCGCGCAGTCGATACACGCTCGAGCACGTCGGAGACCAGGTAAGTCCGAAGCGCCCAAGACGGGCCAGGAGGCCCCCGAGAGGGCTCCAAGACGGCCTAATAAGGGCCCAAGAGAGCCCACGATGCCTCCAAGACGGCCCAAGAGAGAGGCCCATAACGGGCCCGAGAGAGGTCCCAGAGATCAAATTTCGAGTCTTCGGCCCCCAGAGGCCCCCAGGAAGCCCCAAAAGGCGCCCAGGAGAAGCCAATAGGTCCCAAGAGACCCCAAGAGGCCCCCCAAAGCCCCAAAGAGGTCCACAACTGATTTCAATATAATATACCACCGAGAGGCCTCCAAGATACCTCCATGACGCCGCCCCAGAGGTCCCCCAAATTACCTCCAAGACACTTCCAACACGCTCACGTTTAAACAACCGCGTTGCATCGCACTGTTGTTTTGTCATTTTGTTTTTGCTCTTTGTTTTTTTTAGAAACGGTTTCACGCTCCCAGATGGAGCCCGAGAGGGCCACGCGAAGCCAACTTAGTTGATTCCCTTTTCGGTAGCTGCAGGGTTTCGATTGCCCCCTTTCTCGAGCTTCCTGTGATCCAAGACGCTGGAACGTGTCTCCCACGACCGCCCGGAGACGCCTTCCAAATGCTTACGCTTACACATATGCGGATGTATGTTTGTATGTTTGCGGGTATGCATGTATCCGTGTATGCATGTATGCATATAGGTGTGTATACGTGTATGCCTGCAGGCATGTATGCATGCATGCATGTGTACATATAACGGCGCACCGGGTCCGGGGGCCCGGGGCTGGGACCTCGACCACAAATGTGGGCCCCGGGGGGCCAGGAGGCTCGTCGGACCGCCGGACGCCGTCCAAGATCTTTCGCAGGCGGCTTCGGAACGCGCTCCGATGGCTCCAGATGCCTTCCAAGACGCCTGTCATGACACCAAGAAGGTCCCAGAAGCCTCCAAGACGCTCCGAGAGGCAGCCCAAGAGAGGCCCAAGAAGCAAAAATCGTGCCATTCCTATGGGAAAACGTATATTTTTCGCATGTTCGCCTCTTGGGCTTTCACCGCGTCCAAGACGGCCCAAGAGGCGCCCAAGACGGTCTACGAGGCCTCCGGGAGCGCTCCAAGGCTGCGCACGAGTGGCCCAGGACGGCCCCAAGACGGCCGAAGAGAGCCCCAAGACGAGTTCGAGAGGGGTCCCAGACGGAGAAAGCCAACCTCGAATTCCGAGCTTCCGGCCCAAGAGGCTCCAGGAGGCGCCAAAATGCCGCCAAGAGGCGCCAAAAGGCTCCCCAAAGCACCCCAAGACGTTCCGAGAGGCACCCCAAGAGAGGTCCAAGAAACAAAAATCGTGTCATTCCTATGGGAAAACGTATATTTTTCGCATGTTCGCATCTTGGGCTTTCACCGCGTCCAAGACGGCCCAAGAGGCCTCCAAGACGGCCTAGGAGGCCTCCGGGAGCGCTCCAAGGTTGCGCACGAGTGGCTCAGGACGGCCCCAAGACGGCCCAAGAGAACCCCAAGACGACTTCGAGAGGGGTCCCAGAAGGAGAAAGCCACTCTCGAATTCCGAGCTTCCGGCCCAACATATCCCAGGAGGCGCCAAAACGCCGCCCAGAGGCGCCAAAAGGCTTCCAAAATCAGCCCAAGACGTTCCGAGAGGCACCCCAAGAGAGGTCCAAGAAACAAAAATCGTGCCATTCCTATGGGAAAACGTATATTTTTCGCATGTTCGCATCTTGGGCTTTCACCGCGTCCAAGACGGCCCAAGAGGCCTCCAAGACCGCCCCAAGACGGCCCAAGAAGCTTCCAAGAGGGCCCCAGGACAGCCCAAGAGGGCCCCAAGACGGCCCAAGAGGCGCCCAAGATGGCCCAAGAGGGCCCCAAGACGGGCCCAAGAGGGGGCCCAGAGGGGGACCACGAACCGCAAGCTCGAGCCTTCCGCCCCAAGAGGCCGCCAGGAGGCCCCAAGGAGGCCCCTCAAGAGGCCCCAGGAGACCCCCAAGAGGCCCAAAGGAGGCCCCGAGAAGCCCCAAATCGGCCCCCAAAATGCTTCGAACCTGCTTCCAGGAGGCCCCCGACAGGTTCAGAGGCTCCCGAGAAGCTACGTCAAACTCCCAGCGAGCGGCCGGACGAGGCCCCCCACAAAATCACAAGAGGGTTCCAGTATTTGTATCCTTCAGCGCTCTCTGGCCTTCTTCCCCCTGCCCCCTTCCCTGCGACTTTCGTTGGCTCAAGCTCGCCTCCTAGCTAGAACCTAAGCGCGCGCGAAGCGCGCGCGTGGTTCTAGTATGTATATATGCATGCATGCATACATGTATGAATGCATGAGTGTATGATTGTATGAATGTGCGAATGTATGAATGCATGTAGGTGTGTATGCATGCATGCCTGTATATCTGTATGCATGTCGTTGTGTAGGTTACATACGTACGTATGCATGCATGTGTGCACGTATGACTGTATGTATACGTACATATGCATGTACGTGTGTATGTGTGCATACGTACACATATGGGTATAGCCATTCATTCCTAGTTATTTATCATGTGTATATATGTGTTCATGTAAGTATATGCCAACGGATATACGAATGTAGGTATGTCTATGTGAGTGTATAACTGCACGGACATGTGTATGCACGCGTGTGTGCATGGCTGTATGTATGTATGCATGCATGTATGTATATAGGTGTGTGCGTACCTATGTACGTGCGCATGCATGTAGGTGTGTATGTATTGAGGTATGTATGTATGTATTTATGTATGTATGTATGTATGCATGTATGTATGTATGTATGTATGTATGTATGCATGACTGTATGTGTGAATGTATGTATGCATGCATGCACGTGCCTGTAGTTGTATATGCATGCATGTTTGCCTGTTTGGTTGTTTGTTTGCATGTATGTATGTGCATGTATGCTAGTGTCTATATGTACAAACACATGTGGATCTAGATGTGTATGGATATGTATGCGTGTGTGTATGAACGTATGCATGCACTCATGCGTGCATGTTTGTATATATGTATGTGTGCATTCATGCATGTATGTACGTATGTATGTATGTGCGTGTATGTCTACACGTACGCTCGTATACATTGTTGCATGCATGTATGCGTGTATGCATGTATACATGCAAGCATGTATGTAAATCAGCATGTGTTTAGACGCGTATGTGTATACGTCTGTTTGCATACATGCATGCATGCATGTACGCACGGATGGATGGATGGATGGATGGAGGGATGTCTATACGTGTTCATGGATGCATGTATGTCTGTATATTGGTGTATGGGTGTCTCTGGACGTATGCACTTATGTATGCGCGTGTGTATATAGATAGATACATGAATAGGACATCATCCCACCTAGACTAGGCAGGGACCGCGACGACTATCTCATGAGGAAGCTAGGCATTGGTGAAGCGACTCAGCGGCGTAACTCGCTCGTGCAATGGACCAGGTACCTCATTGACCCCACGTACACCGCCCACTCACCATTTCTGCATGTCCCTTGGGCGCGTGGCACCGACGACGAAGCGCGAACATCGCACTGGCCAGATGACGGTGCAGAAGAGGCGCTAGCCGCCGTCGTAGCCAGGGTCCTCGCTGCCCACGCGGATGACAGCCGGGGGGGACTTGCGAAGGGCTCCTAACGCAAATGACCTGCAGAAGGCCTTGGAGCCCCAAACGCCGTTCCCAGCGGCGAGCAACCACCAAGGAACGCGGCGTCGAGGCCAGAGCGGCATTTCGCGAGCAATGGTGGCCGTGTCCCATTCGCGCCACATATCTGACCGTCGGGGACAAAACGTTCATGTTGAAGCAGACAGCGTCGACATGCGTTGTCTTTGAATGGGTCAAGTGGACGTCCCGGATGCGAGCCGGTCAGATGGCATAGTGGACGCAGAGATGCGGGATTGGTGCGTTCAGGGGGCGGGCTGGGATGATGTATCAGGGGGGAATGGTGGCTTGCGTGGGGGAAACAAGATATGAAAAGGGGGAGTGACTGAGTGAGTGAGGGAGGGAGGGGAAGACTGCAAGGAGGGTGGGGGGCGGGCGGCGGCGGGGGCGGAATGAAAGTCGGGGGGGGAGGACGGGATGGGACAGGTGATGGTGGGCGTGAGGACGTGAGGGGAGGGAGGAGTGGGTAAGCAAAATGTGAAAGAGAGAGAGGAGAGGATGAACGAGATGCCAGTTGGCCCGAATCCGTAGCAGACCGATGCACGAGGATAGCGGGGACGAGGGAAAAAACAGGAAGAGGAGTGGGTACCAGGAAGTGGTCGTCAGGGAGGGGCGCGCAAGTGCGGAGGACGGACCGACAACCACAGAAGTCGAGGACTTTATCCGCGCCAACGACGTAGACTCGAGGGCTGCCGAGGACCTGAAGGACCCCGCTGCCGCCTCCGCGCCGGCGGGCGGGCGGGCTTCGCGGCAGCCGGAGTGCCCCCCTTCCACCGGTCCTCGAGTCGGCGCCCAGGCCCCCCCGGACGGTGCTTTCCGTGCGCCCCGTGCGCCAGGAAAGGGGATCCAACGCAGATTCGGGACGTCCGCGCGGACCTGTTTCTGCGATGCTCTCTTTTTTGGGGGTTTTCTCTTCTTCTCTCCTCCTGCGGCCGCCTTCTGCTGCTCCGCCATCCCCTCTTGCATACTGGACAGTTCGCACATCCGCGTTTCGGGCCTGCTCCACGCGCGAGCGGATCGCCTCCTCCTCCTCCTCCTCCGCCGCCATCTCCTCCTTCTCCTTCTCCTCCTCCCTCTCCTGCTGCTGCTGATGCTGCTGCTGCTGCTGCTGCTGCTGCTGCTGCTGCTGCTCGTCCTCCTCCTCCTCCTCCTCCTCCTCCTCCTCCTCCTCCTCCTCCCCTCCTCCTCTCTCCTCCTCCTCCTCCTCCTCCTCCTCCTCTCTCCTCCTCCTCCTCCTCTCCCCTCCTCCTCCCTCCTCCTCCTCCTCCTCCTCCTCCTCTCCTCCTCCTCCTCCTCCTCCTCCTCCTCCCTCCTCCTCCTCCTCCTCCTCCCTCCTCCTCCTCCTCCTCCTCCTCCTCCTCCTCCTCCTCCTCCTCCTCCTCCTCCTCCTCCTCCTCCTCCTCCTCCTCCCTCCTCCTCCTCCCTCCCTCCTCCTCCTCCCCCTCCCCCCTCCTCCTCCTCCTCCTCCTCCTCCTCCTCCTCCTCCTCCTCCTCCTCCTCCTCCCCTCCTCCTCTTCCTCCCCCTCCTCCCCTCCTCCTCTTCATCCCCCTCCTCCCCCCTTGCCCCCCAAACGTGTGGAAACTTCACGGAGCAGCGCTGCGGGGCGCGCCCAGGGTGGCGCGCCTGCGCTCGCACCCGCGCCCTTCCCTTGTCGTTCCGTGCCGCCCTCCCCGCCCCGCCCCCCATTTTCCCGGCCCCGCCATCGCAGCCTCCTCCTCCTCCTCCTTCTCCTCCTCCTCCTCCTCCTCCTCCTCCTCCTCCTCCACAGCTGCCCTCAAGCCATTACGGCTCAGGCGCATTTTGCACCACCTGAGCCGCCCCAGTACCTTCCCGTGGTGTTTGAGGAATTTCCCCACAGCAAGACCAGTTTCTCGCTTTTGGGGTCAACCAGAGCTGGGGCTCATGACTTTCCCGTCCCGTCGCTCGAACACGCTTTGGAGCAGATGCAAGGCCTGCCGCGCATGCGAGTACAACGATCGGCTCGACCCAGATCAGCCTCAATGTCCTCGCTGCAGTCGACCAATAAGGTTTCATCGTGCTAGACGCTCGAGATCGCCGTCGGTGGTGCGGTTCAACGAGCAAGCCGAGGTCATTGACGGCGACGGGACCACCACCACCCAGCGCGGGGGCCGAGGCTCATCGCGCAGCCGCGGCGACCGCGACCACAGCGGCAGCCACAGTGGCGACCACCTGTCTGTTCATCTACGACAGGCGCTCGCCGCCGCCGAGGACCCGCAGCTGAAGGGCCTCCTGCAGGCGCAGCTCGCACGGCTCGCTGAAACTGCCGACAACGCAGCGCAGCCCCGTGGGTCCGAGGTCGAGTGCATGCGCCAGGCAGATGGAGCCTGGCGCGCCGCGGTCAACCGGCACACGCAGATTCGTCAACAATGTGATCAAGCTCCGTGCCAGCCTGGCCGCGGCAGAGGCCAAGGAGGCCGAAGCCGCCATGCAGGTGGCCAAGACGGAGTCCGTGAAGAAGAAGGCAGCCGAGGCACTCGCCAAGGCCGAGGGCATCGGCAGCTCCGAGGCGGGGCAGCCGCCGCAGGAGCGCCAGGCCGCCTTCACCGTGACCTGGGACCAGGGCCTTTTCGCGGAGGTCGCCGACCTCGATTTCGAGGAGGGTGAGAAGGCCGAGCTCGAGCGGATCAAGGCTGGGCCCGAGGAACTCAAGAAGCAGTTCGACACCAAGGAGCCACAGGTCAGGGAGCTGATCGAGCGGGCGCGCACCGTCCGCAGGTTGCAGGAGGAGAGGACCAAGAAGAAGCGCAAGGGCGACGACGGCCAGGCTGCCCCCGCCCCCCCTACCGAGCCGACTGGCGCCGCTGGCGCAGGCGCGGGCTCAGGGGAGGCGACCAGCGGTGGCGACGGCGCAGCCCACGAAGCAGCCGCGGCGGCAGCCGCCGCGGAGGAGGCGCTGAAGGCTGAGGCGACAAGGCTATCGGCAGCGCGATTCGCCGCCCAGCAGGCGATCGGCAAGGGCAAGGACGGCAAGGGCGGCGGCGTCGGCAGCCAAACGCGAGCCGCCTCGTCTTGACTAGGTTCCGAGCCCAGTCAAGCTGTCGCCCCTGGCGACGAGGCGGCGGTCACAAGCCGCAGTGCCCGTGCAAGTACAATGTTCTACAGCAGCGTCACGTGCATGGGCGGCAAGTGCTGGGAGTACCTGAGCAGTTGCCCTGACGACTACATAGGCCTCGTGGAGGCGCACATTTCGTCGGCTGACGTGGGCAGCTGGCAGTCTCGCGCGAGGAAGGAGTGCATGATAATGGTTTGCAACCACGCACGGCCTTCACGGCATGGGCATCCTGACGGGTGGACTGGTGATTCGTGCGAATCGTCCGCAGGACATGCTAATGAGGGCGGTGAGTGGTTTCTTTCCAAGGGGCACGTGCAGACGCACGCGCTGCGCGAGGGTGTCCAGTCCGCAGCTCTGCAGGCCAGGCCGTCCACCAGCGCGGACGGCTTCCTCCCAGTAGTGTTGCATTTTTGCTGTTACTCCATAGTTGTGATTTTGTTCTACGGAATAGGCCTCGCGGGCCCCAACCTCACGCGATTTCGAAGGCTCGGCAGCCTCCTGAGATCCCTCCAACTCCCCTGGGCCGTCGCAGGGGACCCGAATGTCTCGCCACAGGTCCTCGCGGCCTCGGGGTTTTTGCAGCAACTAGGAGGTGGGATCAGGTGCGCCGACGTAGAACGTGCTGGTGACCCTGGAGGCGGACGTAAGCCATCGCATTTGGACTACGTGGTGCACTGCGCTGCTGCCCGTGCGTACGTCTCCCAGGCCACCGCGGTGCACGACGCGCCGTGGAAGCCACACCTTGCCTTAAGAATTCATTTCGTCGCCGAGGGAGAACAATTGCTGACCCGCATTGTCGAACTCCCGCGGCGGCCCCCGAGCGTAGCCCGACCTGCTCAGGCCCCAACTGCAGGGTCCAAGTCTAGTTTAGCCAGGGCCAAGAGGGCCGAGCAGACTGCAGAGGCAGTCGAACGTAAAGAGAAACTTCATTCAGTTTTAGTTGAAGATTTGTGGACGGCCGACGCAGGCGATGAGCTCGAGGGCCAGTCCACGTGTGCCGACGATCGGTCAGATCAAGAATCGCAGGCCGAGTTCGAGTCCGAGGGGGATCCCTGGGCCGACGAAACTGTTTTCCAGTGCCGTCGCGAGCCTCTGGTCGCACCGAGCGCGGAGGAAAACCAGGCTTCGGACCTCTCCCCACCCCCTCCGCATCAGTCTGCCAGCATCGATGTCGGCATGTCTCACTCAGCCCAGTGTGAGAACCCCCACATACCTGCGGAGTCCCAGGGGTCGGAGTCTGCCAGCACGGATAGCGCATCTCGGCCCACTTTTGACATCCCGAAAGAAGTCTGGGATGAGCATCGTATGCAAATACGTAGGTCTTCTGCCCCTCCACTCCAGTCGGCCTGCCGCTACTGCGGCGTCCTCCGTTGCCTTCTCGCTCAAGCCTGATATCTCTTGTCAGCTCGGGCAGCTCTACGGCTCCTGGGTTGCAACAGTTGAGGCCGCTGTTCGCGCGCACCATAGTCAGGCTTTCCTCGGTGGCTCCCGCGCAGAAGGGCCCGAGTTTCGAGTGGTGCCAGTTCGGGGGCAGCAGGGCAAGCGGCGTGCAGCGCTGAGGGACCTCAGCAGTTCGCGGTCGACCAGGCCGCACACCATCCTTCAGAACATCTACAGGCACAGGGCGAGGGGCAACGGGCAGCGGCAGCTGGGCCAGCTCTACGCGTGCGTCGAGAAGATCACGACCGACGTGTCCAGCCAGGTCCCAGGACAGCTGCGGCATCGAGACAGAGATCGGCGGGTGCAGTGGGCTGATTTCCTCGGCCGAATACGTGCTGCAGCCGACGTCGAGGTCGCGAGCTACACCAGCAGGGCAGCTGCCGTCGCGCGCCGCGCGCAGCAGCGTGCAGTGAGGAAGTCCCACCGTGACTTCCACGAGTGGGCCGTCGCGGAGCCCGCCACCGGAGCGTTGCATAGGTCACTGCGGCCTCAGCATCAGCCTGCTGAGTCTGTCGTCACCGAGGCGGGCACCATCGTCCACCCTCGAGACTTGATCGATCGGAAGGTCAGCACCTGGGCTGAGCTGTGGGCGCCGCGGGCCCCCGATAGTGCTGGTCTCGGGGCTCTTTTCGACGCCGTCCGTCAGCGCATGCAGGAGGGGGGCCTGCCACCACTTACGACGCAGGACGTGAGACAAGGGCTTCGGCGCCAGCGGGCATCCACGGCCATGGGCGCTGACAGGCTCAGGCCGACCGACCTCCTCAGGCTGCCCGACCCAGCGCTTGAGGAGCTCGACGCCATCCTCGACCAGGCCGAGCAGACGCAGACTCGGCCCCACCAACTCCTCCTGACAGCGGGGGTCATGAGGGCCAAGAAGGGTGGGGGCGATCGTATTATTGGGATTTCACCAGGGATTGCCAGACTGTGGTCCATGTGCCGCGAGGACGCAGTGCAGGAGTGGAACAAGGAGTGTTTCGCGCACTGGGGCGCGGCGGCCAAGGGGAACTCAGCGCTGCGAGAGGCGTACCAGCGAGCACTGCATGAGGAGCTCGCAGCGCACGTCCAGACATCACAGGCCCACGGCCTGCTGGACGTTGCGCAGTTCTACGACAGCATCGAGTGGTGCAGGCTGGGTGAAGAAGCTCTCGAGGTAGACTTCCCTGCGGAGGTCTTGGGCCTCGAGATCCTACAGTGCACCGCGCCCCGTGTCCTCACGCAGAGCGGTGCATGTGTGCTGGGCATCTTCTCCAACAGATCGGTCGTGCAGGGCCTGCGGTCGGGGGCCAGGTTCGCCAAGGTGATGACCTTCAGGGCTCTCAAGAAGATCGCGGAGGTCCACTGGCGGCATTCCCATCGCATATGGGCCGTCGACCTCTCTCAACGCATGCAGGGCTCACGACGGGCAATACGTCGGCACATGGTGCGGTGTCTAACCGACACGTGTGCTGAGCTCGGTTCACGGGGGGGCTTAACATTGCCAAGAAGAGCGTCACCATTTGTTCGGGCATGGATGACGCCAGGTACATCGCGGTGGCCATGCAACGCAGGGGCTACCCCATCCAGTACAAGAGCCAGGCCAGCTACCTCGGCACCGACCTCGGTGCTGGAGTTCGACACGCTCGGACCAACCGCACGCAGCGGCTGACTCGACACGGCCTCATGCACAGGAAGATCGCGCGCCTGGCGCGGGCCACCAGAAGGTACCGTGTCACGGGCCGACTCGCCCAGCAGGGCGGACAGGCCGCGGGCGCATGCGGCCACCAGATTCACGGAGTTTACGGCGCGTCGCTGATGTTGTTCCGACGACGACTAGGCGACGCAGTGGGCCTTCGCCTACCTGGGCGGTGCCTGACCACCCTCCTCGACCTCAAAACGGAGCAGCGCGATCCTGCTCGACGTTTTCCTCGAGAGGCCGTCCAGGAGTGGTTGGGGCACTGGGTGCAGGCAGGGCCGTTGCAGAAGACCATCCAGTTCACATGGCGCAAGGTTGTCGACCATTTCCGAGCCATGCCAGCACAGCAACGGGCCAGACATGTACGAGGACCCAGTTAGCCATCGTCCTCTATCTGCTCGAGAATGACTGGGACCCTGTCCAGCCCAACGAGTGGAGGCTACCAGGGGCCCTCGCCGACGGCGCTGACACGTGGGAGTTCAAGACGGAGGCGCTGTCGGGGATTCCAGCTGCGGACATCCCAGAGGCGCTGCTCACCGACCTGGACAACAGCATCCAGGACAGGTACTGGCGACAAGCCAGCAAGCACCACGGCGGCGGTGGCACGGATGGTGGAGTAGACAACCGCTCCTACCGACGGCTGCTGAGGCACCTCGAGTCCCTGAGGAACGGCGTGCGCCTCGCGATGCTCATGTTGGCAATCGCCACAGGGGCCATGTGGCCCAAGGCCCGTGTTCGCGCCGAGGTCAAGGACGCCGACACCGACGGCTACTGTGGTCGATGCGGCGAGGCTGAGGAGACTGAGTCTCATCGAGTGTGGCAGTGCCGTTGCCGAGTTGAGCGCTCGATCTACGAGGGTGCCGACGACCTCATCGCGGAGGCCACGGCACAGCAGCACATGTACGAATGCTACTGGACACGGGGGCTCATCCCACGCAGCTGGACAGCCCTGCCGCCTCCCGTGGCGCACGAATGTTGGGAAGTCCACGGAGCTGATGAGGACGGCCCAGGATGTTTCAGCAGCTGGCATGGCGAACCCACATATGTTTTTGGCGACGGCAGCGGCGGGGGTGACACATCCAGCTCACCCCTTCGTCGGGTCGGCTGTCTATCTCAACTACCACAATGGCCATCGTGGGACGCCCAAGGGCGCGGATGCAGACTTGTGGTATCGTGTTCGAGAGGCCGTCCGAGAACGGCGTGCTGATGTGATTGTGACGTGTATACGGTCCCACATGACCGAGGCCGACATCTGTTCGGGGAGAATCAGCAGCTCCCTTGCATACGGCAACACCGTCGCTGACGAACTCGCCGCAGGGGCGGCTCGTGAATGCAGGGTCCCCATGCACGCTCGCCCGGAGTATGCCCGTGTTGAGCAGAAAGCGTTTTCTGCTCGTTTGAGGATCCTCAGGGCCCACATAGATGCTCTCGAGGCCGGCAGAGCAGCCCACCCAGAGGGCCCTCGACGTAGGAGGCCGAAGCCTAAGGCTCCAGCCCAACCGCCTGCCCCCGCTGTGTGTGCCGCCTTTTCTTCGCAACACACTCTGGACAGCACTGGCAGTAGGTGCAGCAGGTGCCAGAACTCTGCCTCGCTTGCTCGCAGGACTGAATGGCTCGGCATCAGTTGTTATGACCTAGAGAACGTTGATGGCACTTATATGAGACCCCCCCTCGGGAAGCAGGTACATGTGGCGGGGGGATTTGCTCATTTAACCCATCGTTTAAGGTTCCACACTGGGCTGAAATTGTGGTTTTGTTCTCACAGCGGGGTGCACGCCTCCAGACAGATCGGGAAGTTCGCCGTCGCACGTGACGCACCCACCGCCACAGGGCGGGAGTATTTACGCCGTATTGCAATGGGGTCCTGGCCCAAAGCGCTCAGCAAAGCTGAGACCATCCAGAGAATGGGGAAGCAACAGGCACCTCTGCAGGTGCCAGCGGACCTTCATATTCAGATCGCTACGCGACCAGGCAGAGTCTCCAGAGTCTCCTCCACAGCTGCCACCACGGCCCTGGTCCCCCCTGCCCGCCAGGCGGCCCTTCCGACCCGCGGCAGAGGCATCATGGGGGCGACCGTGGCCTGGCTGGCGCGCTGACCGCGCTGAGTGCCGCCTCCCCTGGCGGAGCACCGCTGGGAGGCAGGCTTGCGCGCTGGCGCCCGCGGGGGCATGAGCCCCGAGCTGCTGCTGCTGCTCACATTCGGGTCGGTGCAGGCCGCCCATGTCGAGGCCAACGCCCGCTCGTGCACAGGGGGCTGCTGCTGGAACCCGTACAACCTCATCGGCGCCCCCCGCCTGGGCGAGGTCAGCCCCGTCCCGCGCCTGGCCAGCGTGGTCACCCTGCCTGGCGCGGCAGCCAAGGACTGGCAGAACGAGGCGCGTCAACACGGTCGGCCTGTGCGCGATCAGCGCGTTCTTCCCGTGCGGCAATACCTTCGTGGGCAACTCTGGGGTCAGCCAGATCGACTACATCCTCATCCCCACGGCGACCCGCACGCTGGTTTGCTGGGCGACCACGTGGAGGCGGGATGCGCAGGAAGGGCGGGAAATGGCAGCGGTGCTCGACCACACCCCGATCGTGCTGAAGATGAAGATGGCGCCGCCGGTCGACCCGGGGCCAAAGACGCCCACCACCGCGGTATGCAGGGTGCGGACGAGGCTGCCGTGAAAGGCGCAGTGTACTGCACCCAACAGATCAAGGCGTTGAAGGTGCTGACCAGCCACTGCAAGCACATGTTTGAGGCCCGCCTGGTGTACATGGAGGGCGCGCAGGCCGAATATGGGCAACTGCGGGGTATGGCTGTGGCCCCGTGGATGGCGAGGTCGCTTGCTGGGGCGGGCATCGGCATCAAGAACTGCAACCACTGCGTGCACCCGCCCCTTGCCCAGGAGTGGTGCGCCCCCTTGCTGTGGCCACTGGTGGCGGGTGGCCGCGGGGGGGTGTGCGTGACCGTCCCGAGGCGCGCGGAGGTGCTGGGCGAACGGTACGACCTTCTCGCCCACGACTACGCCCCCCCAGACGCCTACGAGGTCACCTACCCCATGCGCATGATGGCCCAGGAGGACCCCAAGCGCACGAGGGCCTGCGGCTGCGCCATCAGGATCTACAAAAGAAGGGTCGGGAAGAACGCCCTGCGGAGGATCATCACCCCGACAGCGTTGCTACGCGGGCGAGGTGGCCTGGCCTGCACCTACTCGGGGCATGTGGTGATTGCGACCTTGGTGCTGTGCTCCCCCCCCTCGCCTGGTGGCGGGCTCGGCGGGCGTGAGCCGCGACGCGTGCATCCAGCTGCTGAAGTGGGCCCTGGCGGAGTATGCGGGCATCTCACAGCGCTACACACCAATGACAAGCATGGACCTCATTGCGTCGAGGTGGTCGGCCCCAGTCGAGCTGTTCAAGATCTCCTTCAGCCCCATCTGGACCAGCATATTGAAGGACTACTGGACGAAGACGGCTGGCTTGCGCCTGCACCCTGCCCCTGTGTGGGGCGGGGGCCAGGGGATGGCGGCTCCCTACGCGCAGGACCAGCGCGGGCACCTGGTCAAGCGCGGCGGGGCCCCGCTGCCCCACGGCTTCGCGCCCGACAAGAAGATTTGGACACGGGGGCTTGCTGGGCGGCGGTTGCCCCATGCCATGTGCCCTCGGTGGGTGGCATGGAGTGGCGCGTGGGCGAGCTTGCCGTTGCTGCGCAAGAGCTACGACGCGATGAGCGCCACCGCCTACGGCCTGATGGCCGAGCGGGGGGGGGGCACCCGCGAGAGGCAGGTGGCGGACCCTGAGCCCGAGGCGAGGGGCAGCGCTTTCGCCGCGCACATCACGAGCGGCGGAGGGGGGGGCATGGGCGACACGTCGGAGCCTGTGATTTCCATGCGCAACTACAGCCACGCCGCCTGGAGTGGGGCTGACTTCGAACGCGGCCAGTGCAGCAGTGACACCAGCATCATGGTCGGACGCGTCACGGCCGTGGACGCACGTTCGGGTACTTTCATGGACGACATCACCAAGGCGCGGCTGGCCCCAGCGGTCGTGGTCGGGGCGCCCCCGGCAAATGACCTCTACCACGGCCTGGCTTGGGTGACGAGGGGCTACGAGCAGAATCAGACGCAGGGCTTCGTCCCCGCTCTGTGGTCGAGGCAGCCCCCCCCCCCCCCCCCGAGCTGAAGCACCTGGGTGCCTGGCCCAACGCGGCCCGCAGCAACGCGTCGGAGCTGCATGCCAGGGCCCAGAGGATCAACAGCGGCTGGATGATACTGAAGGGCTCCTGGTACTCACGTGCCCCCCGACGCGCGAAGAGGCCCATGGGGCATCCTGACGCACGCGATCATCGAGGACCCCAGCTTCGTGGCCAGGGGCGCGCTGGACGGGGGGAGGGGGTTCGCCGACCAGGCCCAGAACTCCCGCTGCCGCGCCGCCAGGCCGAAGGACATGCCCAAGAAGGACAAGGACAAGGTCGCCGTGGTGGCGATCTATGTGGGGGCCGGTGTGGCCCCGCAGGTGCTCTGCTCCTGGGCCCCCTCGCTGCCATGGCGGGGCCGAGGGCTACCCAGGGGGTGGATAAGATCAACCGCAGTGCCCTGGAAGTAAGGACCAGCAGGTGCGATAATTGCTATTGCGAGGGCCAGGTCAAGGTTGATTTCTCGGCCTCTGCGACCGCGGCGGAGTCGGTGGCCGCCCAGTAGGTGGGCAAGATCAACCGAATCGACGTGGAAACGTGGACCAACGTGAAGGTGGGCAACGCACCCGCGAAGTTGTGCAGGCCCGAGAATTGCGACAACGCTGACCAGATTAAGTTCGCCCTCTCCGTTGCCTACCAGGAGGGGGGGGGGGGCTGCGCGGATTCCTTCAGGTCCCAGGGGGCTCAAGTGACGACGGGCCAAGAGGAGGAGCTGCGCGCTTGGATCGGCGCCCCCAAAGCCTTGCTGGCGATGAATGGGGCCCAGATGAGCAAGAGCGATTCTCTGGGATGTAAATCATGATTCTGACGTGTGGCCTCGCACTGACCGCCGCCTCTTGCCCCTGCTGGCGAGGCGGTGCAGCCGAGGCACCCGCAAAAAAACAATGAATTGGCTGACGCCACGGACAGCGAGTGTAGATTACCTCAGTGGTCTGGGTTTTGTTCCTGCGCCCTGTGGCCCTCGCCCCGCACGCGTGTCGCCTCCCCCATCCTCCCTCCCTCCTCGGTCGCGTCCCTCGGGCCCTTCGGTTCGGTGCGCTCCCCGTTTCGGTCCTGTCCGTTCGGGCCCCTCGTGGTCGGTTCGGCCCCGCCTTCTGTGTGCGCGGCGCGGTGCTGCGATGTAGCGTGCGAGTCTTCTTTGGCACGCGAGTTTCCCAGTGGCAGGATAACCCACTCAATGGCTGCGTACTACTACTACTACTACTACTACTACTACTACTACTACTACTACTACTACTACTACTACTACTACTACTACTACTACTACTACTACTACTACTACTACTACTACTACTACTACTACTACTACTACTACTACTACTACTACTACTACTACTACTACTACTACTACTACTACTACTACTACTACTACTACTACTACTACTACTACTACTACTACTACTACTACTACTACGACTACGACTACGACTACGACTACTACTACTACTACTACGACTACTACTACTACTACTACTACTACTACTACTACCACTACTACTACTACTACTACTACTACTACTACTACTACTACTTACTACTTACTACTACTACTTACTACTACTACTACTACTACTATACTACTACTACTACTACTACTACTACTACTACTACTACTACTACTACTACTACTACTACTGCTACTACTACTACTACTACTACTACTACTACTACTACTACTACTACTACTACTACTACTACTACTACTTACTACTACTACTCTACTACTACTACTACTACTACTACTACTACTACTACTACTACTACTACTACTACTACTACTACTACTACTACTACTACTACTACTACTACTACATCCGTCCTCCTCCTCCTCAGCTCCTCCTCCTCCTCCTCCTCCTCCTCCTCCTCCTCCTCCTCCTCCTCCTCCTCCTCCTCCTCCTCCACCTCCTCCCCCACGCCTCCTCCTCCTCCTCCGCCGCGCCCTGCCGGCCCAGCTCCCCGCTTCTTCCGCGCTTGTCGTCGGCACCCTCGAAAAGGGTACGGGAACAGCGGGCACGAAAACCGACAGCAGCTCGTGTCAATTGAATAGGGTTTGCTGGCGGCGCCGCCGCCCCCTCCTTCTGCCCTTGTCGTCGGTACGCTCGAAAAAAATACGGGGGCAACGGGCACGAGGACCGACAGCAGCTCGTGCCAGCTGGACCAGGGTTCGCTGGCGGCGCCGCCGCGGGCGTGGTCCACTGGGGGGGCAGAAGGCCGCCCGCACCACAGTGACAGCTGTGGGTTCTGGGCAACATTTGGTGCTGGGCGTCGTGCTTTCCTGTTCCGTACCTGTCTTTGGCGTCCAAGCTTTTCTTTGTCTCTCCCACCTCTATCTTTTCATTTCTCGCTCTCATTTTTTTCTCTGTTCGGCCCTCTCTCTTTCTCTCTCGCGGGCTTTTGTCCATGACCGCCGCCTGCGGGATCGATCTTTCGGGACATCGGCCGGCGGTGGATCTGGATGTCCGCGGGCCCTGGGGGGGGGCAAAGATAGCTTATCTATATCCACTGCCCGCCGAAATCCCCGAAGACTCCCTCTCTATCCCTGTTTGTTGTTTGTTCCCTCTCTCTCTCGTTGTTTTGTTGTTCCTCCATTTTTTATATCTCTCTCTCTATCTCTCTCTATGTCCATATCTCTCTTTTGTACTCAGGACTCTGCTTCTCAAAAGCGTCAGAACATCACCACCTCCACCACCTTCGCCATCATGACCACCACCGACATCATCACCATCCCCATCCCCATCACAATCATCACCACCATCACCATCATCGTCATCTTCGTCAGGGAGGAAATCGAGAGACTGACCAGGACTGCGTGCCGGAGATCCAGCGAAAGGTCCTTCCCTCGTTTGCTCTCCTTTCGGGGCTTGGTTGTAGCGGTGAGTGTAGCGTGCTGTCCCAGATCATGCTTTGACAGACCATGGAGTGGGGCAAGAACGAGGAGGAACAGGATGAAGGCGGGGGAGGAGGAGCAGGTGGAGGAGGAGGAGGAGGAGGACAAGCCGAAGAGGCGGAGGTGTAGCAACGATAGGGGGGATTGGCATTGGGGGGACGCACGGACCACCGATCGCCCATTCATCGGCGATATGGGGCCCGGTAGCCCCGCTCCGCCCATGAAGGTGCGGATTTGCTATCGGGGGCCATCGCCGATCTATCGGCGATGTATCGCCGATTCCAGGTCGATGTGTCCCCCCCTCCTATCCGAGTCCCCCCTATCGTGGCACTTCCGAGGTGTAGGAGGAGGGGTCGCTCTAGCCAGCTCGGATTGGGAAGTGCGGAAAAGCAGGATGGACACGGGAATCATGGTAAGTTGGAGGAGGAGTATACGTCGAAAAGGTGGAGGGGAAGTAAGAGGAAGGGTCCAGAGAGCCAGGCCGAACGAGACACCGTGCGCCGGTCATTCCCAGCGTCCCTCCCATACCATGAGAACCAATGCCTACTCGTCCTCCTCCTTCTTCTCCCCCTCCCCCTCTCCCTCCTCCTCGTCCTCCTCCTCCTCCTCCTCCTCCTCCTGGACCAATGCTGTCGCAACTTGATTCAGGGACTGGCATGCGCTCCCTCCGTGGAGCGGAGAGCGCTCCCGCGCGTTGCCGTTTCCGGCGATCTGGCGAGGAGGACACTAAGCTCTGGTCGCGCAGGGGCGAGAGCGAGATGTCCATCAGTATCGTTTAACCGACCCCCATCCCCATCCCCATCCTCTTCGAGACCCCCACCAACTTACCCCCCCAGTTGGGGAAACACCCCTCGAAACCCAAAGGGAACGACCTATATCCCCATTTAAGGGGGCAAATCGGCCAGTGGGGCTCAGGCCATGCCGCTGGGGATGGGGATCGGTTAAACGATACTTTGTCCATCAATTCCTCGCGCGGTTCTTGGCGATCGCGCCATGAAGCTTCCTTCCGCGCGGCCAGTTTTCTGAGGAGCGCGGCGCGGACGGACCATGCGCCCTGCCCCTGCAGCGCTGCCACTCTGATGCGACATCTGCGCGGTGCTCGGGCGAGAACAGCATGTCGCCTGCTCTCGCCCGGCCCCGCTGCTGCTGCCGCTTTCACGCGCAGACCGCGCAGGAGCGGGAGCGCCACCTCCGGGCGAAGTCGACACAGGGCGACGACTCTCGCCTTTTCGCGCGGCGCCGCTCCCAGCGGCTTGGCGAGCGAGCCGTAGTTCTGCGCCGCGCCCGCGCTGGGAGCGCCACTTCCAGGCGAACTCTGCGCGGCGCTGAGGCGAGACCGACGTTTCCTCCGCTCGCGCGCGGCTCTTCTGCGGACAAGTTGGCGAGCGAAGACGTGCGCGCCGCTCCCAAGCAGGAGCTCCGTAGTTCCCATGCACAAGGGGCGCGGCGCCGAGGCGAGGGCGAGATGTGTCCCCTGTGGGCACGATGCGCGCCGCGTCCCATGCCTGCTGCGCATTCTGCGTCGTCGCCGACACAACGTGCACTCTGGAGTGCAGCATGCGGGTCTCGTGCCCTCCTGCCCCGCGAAGCGGAGGGACACGTTTGTCAGCTCGCAGGGCGCGTGTCGCGGGTGCCGCCGCCTCGACATCGCTTGAGCAGGAACTCCCCCGACCGCAGGTCTACCCAGTCCGGCGTGCCCTGCGGGGGTGGGGCGGCGCGCGTGCTGCCTGCTTCGCGGAGCTCGGGGAGGAGGCCTCTGGAGCATTGCGTCGTTGTCGTATGGGAGGGGGGCGGGGGGGGGAGGAGGAGGGGGGAGGTGGAGCAGCAGAGGGACCAGTTGAGGAAATATGCTAGCCAGCGTGGATCCCAACCAGCGTGCTTCTACCATTCTGTAGGTTGTGCAAGGTGTGTGGGGCGATCTACATGGTGCAAACTATACTGTGCAATATATGCTGTGCAGCCTGTGTTCTGCAGTGCAAGTGGTGCGCCCTAGGAGGTGCAAGATCTGTTGTGCCATCCCGCCGCCGTGCCTGGGTTGTGGGTAAGAAGCTTATTGGATGTTCGTTGGGATCTCGTGGGAGGCTTCTCGGGGGCCTCTTGGAGGCAGTTTAGACGCTTATTTGGGGCCGTTTGGGGGCATCTTGGGGTCTCTTTTGCGTCGCTTGCTCTTGTGGGCCTCTCGGGAGCCTCTTGGGGCCTCCTGGGCGCCTCGTGGAGCCTCCTGGGGGCTTCTTAGGGCGGAAGCCTTGGATTCTTAGTTTGTGCTACCTCGTTCGGGACCCTTTTGGGGCCGTCTTAAGGCCTTCTTGTGCTGTTTTGGCCCTCTTGGGCCGTTGTGGGGCCCTTTTGGAGGCCGGTTGGGCCGTCTTGGGGCGGCCTTGGGGGCATCTAGGGCCGTCTGTCAGCGTCGGGAAGCCGAAATTGCAACAACGCCCAAATTCTTCAAACACCTCAGGGAAATCAATGATTTTGGAATCTTGGGGCCTTCTTGGGAGGCCTCTTGCAAGCCTCCTTGGGCGTCTTGGCGGCCTCTTGGGCCGTCTGAGGGCCCATCTTCGGCGTCCTGAGGCGATCGTTCGGCATCTCAGGGCCCTCTTGGGCCGTCTTGGCGGCTAGGCCCCTCAGCAGGAGTGGTACTGAGGCTCAAGGGATAGGGAGACGGACCTGAGGACACGCTCACTCGTTGCCCAGAGGCATGGTGGCGGATGTGGAGGAACCTATGTGGTGCAATTCACTTGCCGAACTTGAAGTTGTCAACTCCACTGCTCGCGCAATCATCCCACCCACCCACCCGCAAATTGGTTTGCAAAACCCACATGCGGGACCGAGCACAGATATCGTTCCGGGGTCGTCTTGGAGCCCTCGGGGGCGTCTCAAGAGCGCCCCAAGAAGGCCGGAGAAGCAAGACGGCCGACGACGACGACGACGACGACGACGACGACGGCGACGACGACGCCGACGTCGACGACGACGAAGACGACGACGCCGACGCCGACGACGACGACGAAGACGACGACGACGTCGCCAACAAAGACGACGACGAGGGAGGAGGGAGGACGACGGCGACGACGACACAACGACGACAACGACGACAACGAGGGAGGAGGGAGGACGGCGACGACGCGAACGACGAAGGAGGAAAGACGGCGACGCCGACGACGACAACGACGAGGGAGGAGGGAAGACGACGACGACAACGACGACGACGACGGCGACGAAATAGGAGGGACGACGACGAGAGGCCGACGACGGACGCCGACGACGACGAGGGAGGAGGAGGAAGGACGACCACGGCGACAACCACGACGGAAACGACCACGACGCCAAAGAGGACGACGACGACGAACACGAGGAAAGACACAGGACGACGAAGGCGACGACGACGACGACGCGGGAGGAGGGAGGGCGGCGACGACGACGACGACGACGACGACGCCGCAAGAGCGCGCGCGCACGCTTTTGTTGAAAATCCGTGTTGCGAAACCTTGTGTTTTTGTAGGTTTTTTTGGCGCGCGATTTTGAAATCCTTCCGAAACCGATGGGGTTGAAGGATTTTGGCGTACGCGCGCGACGACGCGCGCGTCTGCACTTCGCCTCAATTGGAGGATTCTCGCGAGGGCACACGCGCAAGGGCGTTCGACAGATTTCGACATGCGCGCGCGACGCCCGTTTGGTAGCATGTTCTGAAAATCTTGAGAAACCAATGGTTTTCTTAAGATTTCGCAAGAGCTCGCGCGTAAACTTTTTTATATAAAAAACCATTCAGTGTTACGAAGCCGTGTTTTTGTATGTTTTTTGAAGCTCGATTGCGAAATCCTTCTGGCACCGAGGGGTTGGAAAAGATTTTGGCATGCGCGCGCAACGACGCGCGCGTGCATTTTGTCATTTTTTTGCAAGGGGTTCGTGAAACAGTGCTATACTATAGCAATAAATGCTACCGCATAATGGTTTTCATGTCGATGGCACCTCAAGGGGGGAACCGGGTTGGCCTGGGACATTGTGATTTCATATTTTGGATGGACATGTGGTCAGAGTCATATGTGATTTACATACCCGAAAGGGGGGCAAAATCGCGTGGGGGGGTAGAGTCCATTCTCTTTTTAGTATATATATACATATAGGGGAGGGGGTCCTGGACCAGGGGGGGGCCTCACTTTGCCCAGTGGCTGTGGTCACCCCCCCGCCGGAAACGCCAGGACGCTCCCACGACCGTCTAAAATGATTCCAGGACGCCCCCAAGACAGCCCAAGAGAGGTCCGAAGCGGCCCGGGAGCACTCCAAGACTGTTTAAAAGTTGCCAAAGCGTCCCAGCAGGTCTCCGACAGCAGTCCTGGGAGGGGCCCAAGAGGGAATGTTCATTGGTTTTTTATTGGGTGTTGAAAGGTTTGGGCGTTCTCCCCAGTTCGGTTTCCAGACGCTCCAAGACGGCCCAAAAGGCTCGAAATATCGCTTCAAAACGAGCCAAGAGGCCCCCAAGAGACCACCGAGACAGCCCAAGAGGGCCCCAAGACGGCCCAGGAAACTTCCAAGACGGCCCAAAAGAGCTCCCAGAACACTCCAAGAAGAGCCCCAGATGGGGAATACGAGCTGGCATTTCGAGCCCTCGCCCACCAGAAGCTCCCAAGAGGCCCCCAGGAGTCCGCAAGAGGCCTCGAGAGGCCCCCAGGAAGCTCCACGAGGCCTCCAAAAGGCGCCGAAAATGTCCCGCAAGGCTTCCAGACGCTGGTGATAATGACAATCGTGATTATGCAGGGCGGCCTCCGGCCCACAACCTAAATCCCCAACACTGCTCACGCGGCATGCAAGACGCTGCGGATATATCCTCGAGTTCGGCGGGGGAGCTTCGGTGACGAAGATGATGACGATGATGACGACTATTATGAAGTTGGCGACGATGATGATGACGAGTCAGCTTTAGCGTTCTTTGATTGATTCTCGGGAGAGCGCCGCAACCACAGCTTCTCTCCGTAGAATTCTTTGGCTCAGAGGTTCTGGGCGCCCTTCCTCGGCCGGCAGTGCATGGGGAACGTGCTGCAGCTGGGGCATTCGGCGCTCGGAGGACTCCTGGCCAACGTTGTGCACTCGCCTGCGTGTTTCTGCGACTGCACTCCCGTCCGCCCCGACGAGGGGGTGCTCGAGCGGCGCGGCCTGGAGCGGCTGACCGCGTGCCAGGCGGTGCCCTCGCGCCCGCGTTCGGCTCCTTGCCCGGGCCTGGTCGGGCCCCTCGCGCCGGCCTGGCCGGCCGCGCCGCTGGCGGCGGAGGCGCCTCCCGCAGTGGGCGAAGGCTGGGGCTGAGCTCACGCCGACGGCCTTGGCAGAGGAGGCCCGCGCCGCGCTCGCCGCGGTCAGGGCGAGGCAGGCGACTCGTTGATGGCGCTCGAACCTGGGGCATGGGTCCTGGTGGCCTACGACCTCCCAGGCGTGGTGGGCGCCCTCTACCACGAGCGGCTCATCGCAGCGGTCGGGGCCGACGCGCAGCGCGGCGTCCTGACGCCCGATGGCGACCACCACATCGAGCAGATCTCCCTCGCCAACGCCGACCTGCGGGACATCCGTGCGCTGGCTGGCCGGGGCGCGGCACCCGCCGGGATAAATCCCGATCGGATCCACCGATTCCGGCGGGTGCCCACCCCGGCGGAGAGGGCTCAGCACTTCGCGGACGGGGCCCTCCTTGCTGGCGTCGCGGCCGCGCCGGCCGCGCAGCCGGCGGCCGCCGCGGCGGGCGCCCCGCGCCTGGGTGCCGCGGCGGGCGCCTTCCAGCGGGTCTGGGTCGTGGCCGAGGATGCAGCAGGCCTCCAGCGAGGCCAGGTGATCGCGGACTTCGGCGACGCGCCCACGATCGACGGGGACATGGCCATCGTGACCCTCCCTGCTGGCAAGGTGTTCGCTCGGCAGATGGGCGAGGACGAGGTCAGAGGCTACGCCAGCGACGATCTACGCGTCCTTCCCGTCGCCTTCGATGCGAGCGGCAGCCGCAGGCGCCCGTTCGCAGGGGCCGTCGACCTGCTCGACGACGCGCTTCCGCAGGGCGGACTCGGGCTCGAGGGCGCTGCCTCGGTCGGTTGGGTGCTGCGACGCTGGAGAGACGGTGGCATCACTCCGCTCACTCGCCACGACGCGTGGGTTCGGGTCTCGCACGCGCCGACGGGAGACAGGTCAATTCACGAACACCACGTGCTGTGCGCGCTGCTGTTCGCCATGGTGCGCGCGCGCGCGCGTGGGCCAGCTCAACGCGCGCAGCCTGCCGACAGGCGAGCTCATCGCAAGGGGGGCCGAGCTCATCGAGGACGCGCACAGGGCCAGCCCATCGGCGCCCGACTACGGGGCGGCCGACCACTACATGGGCTGGCCCTACAGGGCTGGCGGGGCCACGGCGGCCCCGAGTCTCCGCAGGTACGTCGCGGGCCAGGTGAAGGGCGAACCGGAGGTCGCCAAGGAGCAGCGCAAGGCGCGAGAGGAGCTGCGCCTGCGGCGGGGCGGCCGCAAGGGCGCAGGCGAGGGCGCGGAGGAGGGCGCCGACGGCGCTCACTCTTGATGAATGGCGACTCCGCGGCGGGGCCTGGCCGACCTCGACCGTGCATCCCAGGCCGCAGTGGTGCTCGGTCTGCGCGCGGCTACACACCCGGACGACGCTCAGTTTTTGACGGACGGCAGCGCGAACTTTTTCCTCTGCCGATGGTCGAGGAGCTCCCCGTCACGGGGTCAGGTTCCAGGGGCCAGAGGCGTGCGCTGGCCAGGGTACGTTGGGAGGGCCGCACCGTCAATCAGGCTGTCGGCGCCCCGAACGAGGGCTCCGCGGGGGCTGCACATGCCGCCCACCATGGAGCTCATCATCAGCTTCGGCTTGCTGCGCGCCTGAGCGCCCAGTGCAGCGATGTATTTCAACCTCGGGCAGCCGCAGGAGAGCTGCTGAGATTCCGCTCTCTCTATGATGAGGGGGCCGCGTGCCCGGCGCGGGCTCGCGACAGGGAGCTCGTCGACATGCCGAGGCCAGTCTCGACGCCGCCAGCCCTCCTCGACGTGATCGACCCTGTCGGACAGGAGATGCTACAGGATTGGATAAACACCATGTGGCTAGATCAGGACGAGTGGGGGCGCGTGATCGAGAGTTCACCGCCCATCGCCCCGTTCATGGACGTCGAGCTGCGCAAGGATCCCGAGCTCTATCGGGGCTTCGTCAGGGACCTGCACGCCGCTGGGCTGCTCTCCTTCACCACGGAGCCGAAGGACTGGGTGGACCCGCTCTTCGTTGGCAAGAAATCTGGAAGGTTGAGGCTGGTGCTCGACGCTCGGGCCTCCGACAGGCGCTTCCGCAAGCGCCCCCCGCAGGCGATGGGTTCGGGGGCTTCCAGGGGCAGGCTGGAGTTGAAGGGGCCGAGGAGGCCCCGCCCCGACGAGACGACCGAGGCAAGGGAGGAGCTCTTCGTCAGCAGCCTTGACATCAAGAACTACTTCTACGCGCTCAAGAACCTTCCCGAGCTGATGTCCTTATTCTGCCTCCCGGCGGTCCCCGTGGACTTCGCCGAGAGCTTCGGGGAGCCGTTGGTCGGGTCGCTCCCGCCGTCGGACGGTTGGGTCTGGCAGGGCTGAAGGTGGTGCCGATGGGCTGGAGTTGGGCCTTCTACCTTGCCCAGCGTGTCGCGCCTTGGCGCGTGCAGGTCGCCATCGGCATGGGCCCATCTGCTCTGCTCGCTGACCACGGCCCCGTCCCCGACATCTCGGAGGGCAAGCCCGCGGTGCTCGCCTATTGCGACAACATCGGCGTTGGCTCGACCTCCCGCGAGAACGCCGACGCGCTGAGGGCCAAGATCGAGGCGCAGCTGGTGGCCGACGGCTTCGAGGTGCATGAGGTCACCGTCGCCTCCACTTCGGCTGTCTTGCTCGGCAGGGAGATCGACGGGGGCGCGGGGGCGGTTCAGCTTACTGGACGGCGACGGGCTCGGCTGGAGGCCGCGCTCGGGTGGTTCGAGCGTCGCCCCGAGGTGTCTCCGCGACCGGTGGAGGTCATCAATGCTGAACCCCTGCCTCATGTCAGTGCTCCGTGGGTGCTGCGATTTCGTCGCCAGCCCCGTGGGCCAGCTTGGGGGGCTCTGGGCAGCAGCTGCCCGGGAGTTCTCGGTCTTTCGGAGGCTGCTCTTTTCCTGCGCCGCCGACCTGGGGCGACCCTACTGCAGCGCTGTGGGTATGCACGACTCCAGTCTGACAGGAACTGCCGTCGCCACCGCTGAGATGCCTGCCGACATTGCGAAGAGCATCGGGCGAGTTGGCGAGCGCTCACGTTTCAAAGGGCGCGACGGGGCCTTGCCTCCACGCGTCTCCGCTCTCGGTCTGCCTGGCGACCCGTTCTCGGGCCCGCGGGCCGCCCTGCCCTGCGAGCGTCGTAGCAGGGAGGGCGACGCCCCTTTGGTCACCAATCCTTTCTTTGAGGAAGTGCCCAAGAAGCACTTGGCGCGAGCCTCGTGGACCACGTGTGTTGCCCTGCCCTGGTTGGGGACAGAGCATATCACAACCCTGGAGTCTCGTGCAGGAGTTCTGTTGGCGCGACATTTTGTCCGCTCTACAAAGAACTACGGAACAAATTCTCGAGATCGGAGACAATTTCCGTGGTGTGTTGTCTTTCGCTAAGGGCAGAAGTACGAGTTTCGCAGTCTTGACCTCCTGCAGGAGAATGGCATGTCTATCGGCGGCCTCGGGCTCAGTTTTTCTCCACCGCTGGACTCCCTCAGAGGAACCGGGCGGGCGCGGGCTCGCGCCTCTGGAGGCCGCAAGCTGCTGCCGGCCGAGCGCCCAGCCGCTCCAGGGGTTGGCGGCGCGCCCGCCGCGGCGGCGGCGCCTGGCCCCCGCCTCGTCGAGACCTTTCGGGGGAGCTACTCGGGAGGGGCGCAGGGCAAACAGGATGGCTCGAGCACCTCCAGAGAGCTCCGACCCGATCGACATGACGTTCCTCGAGGCCAGCTCGATCAGCAGGGCGACTCAGACGGACTACGACAGGAGGCTGAGCGAGTTCCAGACCTTCGCGACGACGAGGTCGCTCAGGCTATCTTCCCCGGAGGCGACCGACGCGGCCTTGACCGCCTACGCCAACGCCCTGTGGAGGGATGGCGCACTGGTCACCGAAGTCGACAAGGTCTACGCCGCGTGGATCTTCTACCAGCCGAGTTTCGGCCCGCGGGGCCCGCGCCCGTTGTCTCGGATGTTGCGGGCCCTGAAGGGCATGAGGCAGCTCGACCCTCCGAGGTCGCGGCCGTCGATGCCGTTGCCCCACCTTTGCCTGATCGCGCTGCAGCTGGTGATCCTGGGATTCCCCTTGGAGGCGATGGTCTGCCTGTTGACGTTCGTTGGCTACCTGCGCCCCGGCGAGGCGATGGCGATCACGGAGATGTCCGTCGCCCCCCCAGCGGGCCCCAGCAAGTTCGCGGCCCTGGACATGTTCCCGGAGGAGACCGCGCAGAGGTCCAAGACTGGCCTGTACGACCCTACGCCCTCTGGCTGGGGGGCCTCCAGCTGCTGCTGCGGGCGCGGACCCCACCCGGCTACGTGGCCTTCCCGTTCAGCTACTCGACCGCCCGCGACCACTGGGTCAAGGCGGTCAGCGCGGCGGGGCATGGCCAGTTCGACTGCGCGATGTACCAGATCCGCCGCGGCGGCGCAGGCTGGGGCACCCTCATCCGCATCCGCAGCAGGAAGGAGGTCAAAGCCAGGGGGGGCTGGATGTCAGATGCCAGCCCGTTGCGGTACGAGAGCGCCGCGAGCGCCCAGCAGATGGAGGGCGCGGTCTCGGCCGAGGTGCAGACGAGGGCGCAGCGCGCCGTCTCGCAGCTGCCCGCCGCGCTCCGCGCGCGCTAGCCCAGCGCCAGGCGCGCCAGCCCTCGGCCTCATCGCGATCGAGCTCTTCTGCGGCTGCTTCAGGATCGGGCACGCGCTCAGGACCTTTAGCTTCGCCGCGCTCGGCTGCGACATCAGCGACGGCCCCCGTGGTGACCTTCTCCAGCCGCAAGTTGAAGCCGAGCCAGCACGGTTACTGAAGTCGGGCCTTTTTTTGCGTGCTGTGGCCCGGCCAAGACTGCAGCGCGCGGAGATGCGCCCGTCGCGCCATTTTCGGCCCGCCGCCGCTGAGAGGCGACGGGCCTACCGAGATCGCGGGCTTGCCAGATCTTTCCGCTGCCAGCCGCCAGCGAGTGCTCACGCATGATAATTTTCTCGCTGTCTCTTTGAGGCTGATGCACTTGGCCGCCAAAAAAGGAATCAAAGTTGTGATTGAGAACCCGCGCTCCAGTCGTCTGTGGCGGGCCCCAGCTCTTTGCAAGCTTTCTCAACAGTGGTCTCGCACATTTCATCGCCTCGATATGCGCCAGCACGGGGCCCCTTTTTTTCGGAAAACGACGGGCCCCCTCACTATGAACATCAGCAGGTTGAAAGTGCGATGTTGCCAGCCCAGTAGGAACGGCGATGGAGCGACAGTCTGCTCCCGCACGAATCAGCCCCACGAGGAGCTAGCAGGTTTCGATTCAGCGGGTAAGTTCAAGACTCGACGTGCTCAGACCTACCCTGTCAGCATGTGTCGCTCGATTTGCCGCCAGCTTGCTTTTCCTTTTGTCAATGCCAAGTCCACCTGCCAGTGCACATGAGGAGTGGGGATGGGACTGCTGTCGAATGCCCGAGCCTTTGCATTTCCCCTCCCAGTGCCTGGCTGCCCGTGCGAATCTCTACGATCGGCCATCTGTGCTGGGTCTGGAATCGATGCTCTGACACGCCATACATTATCAGATCAGCGTGGCGCGTGGAAGAGCAGCTATCATGAGTCAGCTTTAGCGTTCTTTGATTGATTCTCGGGAGAGCGCCGCAACCACGGCTTCTCTCCGTAGAATTCTTTGGCGCCCTCCGTCTTCCCTCCGCAGCCCTCGAGGGGCTGCTATCGAATGCCCGAGCCTTTGGATTTCCCCTCCCAGTGTCTGGCTGCCCGTGCGAAACTCTACGATCGGCCATATGTGCTGGGTCTGGAATCGATGCTCTGACACGCCATACATTATAATATCAGCCTGGCGCGTGAACGAGCAGCTATCATGATGATGATGAGGACGAACATGATGATAATGATGGTGTTGACAGTGGGAATGATGATGATGTTGGTGATCGTAATGTGAGTGATGGTGATGATGATGATGGTGGTGATAGTGACGATCATGATGACGATGGCGGTGATGTCGTTGAGGATGGTGATGCTGATGATCATTCTGATGATGCTGGTGATGGTCGGGATGATATCGCCGATGTTGATAATAATGGTGGCGATGCTGTGTATGGTGATTGTGATGCAGGAGTGGGCGGACGATGAAGACGATGACGATGATGATGACGATAACGATGACGACGACCATGACGACGACGATACTGATGACGATGGTGATGACGAGGGTGATTATGTTGATAATTCAGGTAACGATACTGACGAAGATGACGGCGATGGCGATGATGACGATGGTGATGACGATGTTGCTGCTGATGGTGGTGATGGTGACGATTGTGATGATGGTGATGGTCATGGTGATGATGACGAACGATGCCGTTGACGATGGCGCCGGATATGATGGTGATGAGGATGGCGATGATGACGATGACGATTATCTTAGCTAGAATTTGAGCGCGCGCGCGCAGCGCGCGCGATGGTTCTCCTTGCGTGGCCGCGAATTGCGCAATTGCCGCCGCTTTCGTGGGTTCCTGGGAGGTCGCGCGGAGCGGATTGGTACGCAGACCCAGTTAGGACCTCGCGGCTCCCTGCGTGGCTGCGAAGTGCGCAGCCGTCGCCATTTTTGAAGGCTCTTGGGAGATCGTTCGGAGTGGAGTGGTACGTAGATTCAGTTGGGACCTCGCGATTCCCTGGGGGGTTGCGAAGCGCGCGACCGTGACCATTGTCTTGGGTTCTTTGGAGGTCGCGCGGAGTGGAGTTGTACAGGGATCCAGTTGGGACCTCGTGGCGCTGTCATGTCACGCAGCGCCCGGCGCTGTCGCATCGCAGCTCGCAAGGAGCCGCTGCGCCACGCATCGCGTGGCGTTGCTCTTGTCCGTGTGGTTTCCCATCCTCCGGTGCATTTGGCCCGCCGTGCCACCCCGCGCGCTTGCTTCGCTCAGCGCGACGTGCTGTTCTGCTACACAGCGAGCGCATGGCGCTGTTCTTTCCCGCGTATGTAGCGTTCGGCGTTGTTGCTGTTACTGAACACGCATGTCCCTCCTTGACACCCTTCTGTATGTTTCTGTATCCGTCTACGTCGTGCGTATTCCTTTCACGCGTTCTTGCATATTTCTGGGAGCTCATGCGCACTGCGCGTCCTTCAACATGTTTGTTCACAGTGAGCGGATATACACACATGTATGTATGTATGTATGTATGTGTATATATATATATGTATGTATGTATGTATATATACATATGTGTGTGTGCGTGCATGCATGCATACGTGTATACAAACATATGTTTCTATGTATTCGCCATGCGTTCAGGAAGGGTTGAGTACGTCACTGGGTAATATACATAACGGCGCACCGGGTCCGGGCGCCTCGGGCCGGCACCGTTACCACAAATGTGGACTCCAGGGACCTCGTTGAGCCCCGGGGCCTCACAGAAGACCGCCAGAAAACACCAAGGAGGCCCCAAGGCTCCAGAACATACCCAGGACTCCCGAAGGTCGCTCCCAGACGCCCAACATGGCCTCCACGGCGGCTTCACAAGCCCCCAAGACACCCCAAACGACCCCCAATAGGGCCCCAAAGAGAACCCCAAGGGGCCAAAATAGCCCTATTCCCTTCGTAAAACGTAATTTGTTAACATCTTGTTTGTTTTCGATGTCGCTCCGGCCGAGGACGCGCCCCAGAGGGCCCCAATACAGCCCCAGAGAGCTCCAGGACGGCCCACGAAGGGCCCAAGACGGCCCAAGAGAGTCCCCAAGACAGGCCCGAGAGGGCCGCAGAGGAGGAATGCCACCATCGAATTCCAAGCTTTCGACCCCAAGTGGCTCCAGGAGGCGCCGAAAAGCCCCCAAGACGCTGTCGTTGGGCTGTCATCGCGTCCAAGACGGCCCAGGGGGTTCCCAAGACGGCCTAGGAAGCCCCCGAAAGAGCTCCAAGACGGGCCACGAGAAACCCAGGACGGCCCCATTCGGCCCCCAAGACGGCCCAAGAGAGCCCCAACATGCGCCCGAGAGGAGTCCCAGAGAAAGAAAGCCACTCTCGAATTCCGAGCTTTCGGCCCCAAGAGATCCCAGGAGGCGCCGATACGCCCCCAAGAGGCCCCAAGCAGGCCCCCCAAAGCACCCCAAGATGCTCCAAGAGGCACCCCAAAAGAGCCCCAAGAAACTAACATCCGTCCACTCCTATCGGGAAACGTATATTTTTCGCATGCTCGCCTCTTGGGCTGTCACCGCGTCCAAGACGACCCAAGCGGCCCTCCAAAACGGTTTAGGAGGCCCTTAAGAAATATCCAAAACGGCCCAGGAGGAACGCAGGACGGCCCAATCGACCCCCAAGACGGCCCAAGAGAAGCCCAAGAAACGCCCGAGGGGGGTCCCAGAAGAAGACAGCCACTTTTCTAAAGAAGGGAATTCCCAGAATTCCCTTCTTTAGAAAAGTGGGACTCCTATTCGGGGGTCCCACACGTCCCTTGACATCTGGCCGGTACCGCGCCTCCCGGCTTCCCAGGGGGAGACCCCAAGACGCCGAAGGACAGCCCATGACGACCCCAAGGAGCCCCCATAACGTAAAGAACGGCCCAACACGCTCCCGCGCAGCCCGAGACACCCTTCCGACGGCTCTCCAGGCTTCCAGGAGGCCTCCAGACGCCCCAGAGGGTCTGGAAGATCCCACACCCCTGAGGGGCCCGGCTAACAAAACCCACAAGGCACAAACAAAAAATAGCGCCGAACAGCGCCGAGGAACTGGAAACACATTGGAATCCCACATTTGTGTTTTGTTTTCCAAGCTTGGCCCCCGGTCTACTCTTGCACAAGAGACCAAAATTACGATCACTCAGGAAGCTTTTGAGGGCCCAATGTCGTTGAATACCTTCCGCACTTCACCTTCTATACGATTCCGAGGCTTGCGCAGGGCCTCCAAGGGAGTCCCTGGACGCAAGAAGCGACCAACATGATCTTACATGAGTTAGCCGGTCAAGCCTAGCTAGAATTTGAGCGCGCGCGAAGCGCGCGCGATGGTTCTAGTATGTATGTGTGTATGTATGTATGTATGTATATATATACATATACATGTAGCCATCTATGGTGTGCCCTATATCGTGTGCAGTTTATGTTGCGCACTTTATCTTGCACAATCTGCGTGGCGCAAATTAATTGAACCAATCAGCGTCCTGCAATACATGTTGTGCAATATGGGTTGGGTAATGTATGTTTTGGTGCAATCTGTAGGTGGTGCATTACATGCTGTGCAATCTATGTGGTGCGACCTGTGTGGTGAAACTCATGTTGTGCAATATGTGTGGTACGATCTACGGGGCACCATATTAGAGGTTGTGCAAATTATTTGTGGAGGAATATCTGTGGTGCAGTTTATGTGATGCAGTTCAAGCTGCCGAGCTTTCAGTTGTCATTTCCACTGCTCGCGTAATCGTCCCACCCACCCACCCGTGTCTAGGTTTGCAAGCCACATGCGGCAGCGATTGCGATGACCGTTTGGCGCTGGCTGGCGCATCGCTGCGGCCGCGCTAGCGCGCTGAGGGTCGCGCGCAGAACGACCAGTTTGTTTGGTGCGGCCGCCGCGGCCGCGGTTGCGCTGACCACGGGAGACTTCCCAGCGCGTCTCGCTGGCCGCGCTGACGCGCGGGCATTTCGTCGTTAGTCGGTGATTCGGGCGTGCGCGGGATTATGGCGATGTCGGCAACGGCATACACTAGTAGCGATACTGGTAACGATGATGGCAATCACGACGGTAAAACTTCTGACGGCGCCGATCCGGTGACGATGATTGTGTCCACGTGTCGGTCATGAGAGTTTTGGTAGGCTTTCGGCATGCGCGGGCGGCCGACTGGCGAGAGTGGTCCGCATGGTATTCTTTGACAGGGAACGTGCCCCCCCCCCCAGCACGCGCGCACGGGCGACCGACTCATTCCGCCATGCGCGCGGGAAATGCCCGTCTGACCGGCTTGGATAGACACTCCGAAACAAAAAAACGTGGTTACCGTGAGAATTCGCAAGGGCGCGCCCTTACAGTCTTCCTCGGACGTAATGTCGCCAAGCGCCTTGCTTTTTGCTTTGACGTTTGTTTTCGGGACACCCGTTGTTGAACTCCTTGCGGTGCTCATGGTTTTTGAGCGATCTTGGCGTGGGCGCGCGACGACGTGCGCGTGGACTTGATTTGCTCAATCAAACGATTATTCTTGACGCCGGATGAGTTTTGATAAAAGGGGTGTGCGCGCGTACGTTTCTGAGACGCGGGCGACGGGAACCGCTGCCAGTTTTTGGTTGGAGTGGTACGGGTTCATATTTCAGACGCGGACGACGGGGCATCGTCAAATGGACATTGCGCTCTCCCAGGGGCACCGATCGAGCCATGCGGGCGGCGCAGTGGCTCTCATGATATCAGAACTACAAGGGTCTACGTTGTGCAATGCATGCGGAGCAGCACTTCTGCCGCGCAATTGGTTTCTACAAGCGAGTTGACACATTCCATGCTGGCGCAATCATCCCACCCACCCACCCGCAACTTGGTTTGCAAAACTCATGCGGGAGCGATTGCGATGCGTGCTGGGCGTTGACTGGTGCATCTCTGCGGCCGCGCTGGTCCGCGGATGTTCGCGCGCGCAGCGGCCAGCTAGTTTGGCGCGACCGACGTGAACGCGGTGGCGCTGACCGCTCGTCACATCCCAGCGGGCATTCCAGTGCGAGTCGGCGACTTGGGCGAGCGCGGTATCATGATGTCGCCGACAACGGTAGACGCGATCATGATGGTAGCGATGTTGGTGACGATGTTGACAGCGTCGGCGGGGCAGCCATTGACGGCGCCGATGCTGATCACGCCGCCGACGATGACGGCGTCATTGCGTCGGTGATGAAGGTTTTAGAAGGGATCTGAAATGCGCGTGCAGCTGACGCGCGAGAGTGGCTCACATGATACCATTTGACGCGGATCGTCACACCCCAGCACGCGCGCAAGGGCGTTCGAACGATTTCGACACGCGCGCGCGCGAGGCCCGTGTGGTGGCATTTTATGAACATGTTGTAACACCCATGGTTGTTTTTAGAGTTTGCGAGAGAGCGCGCATGTTTTTCTAGTTATGTTTTTTCCTTGGGGGACAGCCGATTTTGACTTCCTTACCGAGGGTTTGTTTGAAGGATTCCGGCATGCGCGCGCGACGACGCGCGCGCGTGCACTTCGTTTTTTCTGTTGCAAAAGGTTCTCGCGACGTCACGCGCGCAGAGCCTTTTCGAACGATTTCGGCACGCGCGTTCGCGAAGCCCCTTTGGCAGCATGTTATGAACGTTTTGATCAAGCACGACTGTTTTAAAGTATTCGCAGGGGCGCGCGCATTTTTTCGCTGTTTTGGAAAATCCGAGTTGCGAAACCATTTTTAAAAGATAAAATAATTTGTTCCGGGGCAGTCGATTTTGCAACCCGCCACAAGGGATTATTGTTGACTTACGGGTTTTGATAAACGGGTGCGCGCGCATAGTTTTTTTTCGGGGGGGGGGGCGATGCCGCCCCTCTGGGATGGTGCAGCTTCATATTTGGGATGGACGATAGGGGCGAATTCGTGTGCATTGCAATACGCAAAAAGGTGATTTGTTTAACCCGGGGGGGGCGGGGGTAGGGTGATAGAACCGACTCCCTTTTTTCTTTGAAAGGAAAGCCGAAGTGGTGCAATCTATGTTGTGGTACCCATGTGGTGCTCAATTTTTTTGGTGAAGCGCATGTAATCACATTCGCCCAACCAAAAATCAAATTGCCAATTCCTCTGCTCGCGCAATCATCCCGCCCGCCCACCCGCACTCTGATTTGAAAAACCTATGCGAAGGCGACTGCGATGAGTGCTCGGCGCTGACTGGCGTATCGCCCCACTACCGCGCGGAGGTTCGCGCGCAAAGCGGCCAGCTGGTTTGGCGCGCCGACGCGTCCGCGGTGGCGCTGACCGCTGGGAATAGTAATCCCAGTTGGCATTTCATGGCGAATCGGCGACATGGGCGGGCGCGGTATCATGGCACCGTCGACAATGGTAAGCGCGATGATTGTGGTAAGGATGTTGGTGGCGATGGCATCGACGAAGGCGCGGCCAGTGACGGCGCCGATGCTAACGACGACGGCGTTTTCGCGTCGGTGCTGAAGGTATGGGAAGGCGTTCGACATGCGCTCGCGGCCGACGCGCGAAAGTGGCCCGCGTGATGTTATTTGAACGGGTTCCCCCCCAGCATGCTCGCACGGGCGTTCGAATGACTTCGACATGCGGCGCCCTGTTTGGTATAATTTAGTAGACAGGTTGAACATTTCAAACGGAAAGTATGTGTATCAGAAGTCGCACCAAGAACAACAACGACGAACCATATGCTTTTTCCAATGTGTTCAGGGCGTTTGATTTGGAGTTCTTTTCGAAACCGCATGTGTCTACGGATTCCTGCGTGCGCTCGCGAACGACTTGCTCGTGTGCATTTCGTTTTGTTGTTGATGGTGTTGTTGTTCTCCGTGTCAGGAATTATTGCGACAACACGCGCGCGCAAACATGCTTTTTACAATTCCGACATGCGCGCGCGAAAGGCCCGTGTGTAGCATGTTGTGAACATGTTGGAAGCACACCTATGGTGTTCTGATTAAGCAGCTAGAGCCCAGGCGCATTTGTTCATTGATTTTTTTGTGAGGAAACTATGCGGTTATATTGTTTCGAAGAGAGCCGATTGTCTCTGAAATCCTTACGGCCTTGGTTTTTTGTTGAAAGACTTCGGCAAGCGCGCGCATAATCTGTTCTGCAGGAGGGGAGGGGGGATGCTGGCCTGCATGTGGCGGTATATTTATATGTGGGCATACGTACACATACATTTACGTATACAAGTTTACACACATATACATCTATTATAATATATAAGTGTCTATAGTTATGTATGTTGTTTGACCCACATATGCATCAACCTTTACATACACATTTACATATACATGATACACAAACATAGACATATACTTACACATGTACATCTACATACACACATTCATACATGATGCCGAATAACACCCAACAATAATATGTGTATGGTTTTAGGGCTATGGGGCTATAAGGCCATAGGGCTAGAAGGCTATGGGGCTGTAGGGTTACAGTGCCATAGGGCTATTGGGCTATTGGGCTATAGGGTTATAGGGCTGTAGGGCTATAGGGCCATAGGGATATAGGGCTATGAGGCTATAGGGCTATTAGGGCTAAAGGGCTACAGGGCTATAGGGCTATAGGGCTATATAGAGCTACCGGGCACCTGGGCACCCGGGCACCTGGGCACCCAGGCACCCGGGCACACGGGCACCCGGGCACCCGGGCACCCGGGCACCGGGGCACCGGGCACCCGTCACCCAGGCACCCGGGCACCTGGGCACCTGGGCCCGGCCACCGAATCGTTGGCGAACCCGAGCACCCGGGCACCCGGGCACATGGGCCTGGCCACCGAATCGGCGGCGAACCTCACCTACCATTAAATCCGCTAGGACCCCTACACAGGCAAGCTCTGATTAGGGAGTATCCACATGCGCCAATGCACATACATTTAAATATGCATTTACATATGCATATGCATGTACACACCCACATTTGTATATACATTTGTAGATACATCCACCCATGGGATGTGTGTCGCAGTATCGCCCCACTATCGTAGCCGCCGCTGGCGTCATTGTGGCTCAAGCTGCTTCGGCTCGGCAAGCCGATTCGGGGTGTATGCTTCGCGCCAGCCCTCTCGCTGCCATCGCTGCCTCGCTGGGCGGGCGGCTTCGCGGGCTCGTTGTTGGGCTCGTTCGCGCCAGAGGCACCGGCGTTCGACCCCCTGGAGCGGGTCGTCCCTTGCCCAGCGTGCGCGCCGCCGGTGATCCTGGCGTGCCCGGCGCCGTTGCTGCCGGCCTGCCCGTCCTTCAGCTGCGACGGTGGCTGGGCAGGCACGTGGGTCGGCGCAGTCGCCCTGGCTGGGGCCTGCGCCTGTCGGCTGTGGGGGCGCGGCCGACATGCTGGAGCTGCTGCGGGCGGCGCCAGCTTCGGAGAGGCCCCGCCGGCGCCCTCGACCTGCCAGACCCAGGCCGTGCTGGTCGGCCTGCTCCTGGTGGCCCTCTGGCTTTGCCGCCTGCGGGCCTCTCCCCGCCCCTTTCGGGGTCGACGACGCCTTCGGAGATTGACATCTGGAGGCAGCTGAGGACCCAGGGGCAACGATAGGGGGGGATAGGCATAGGGGTGGATGCATCGACCCCCCATCGCCCATTCATCGCCGATAGGTGCCCGATAGCCCCAACCAGCTCAGGAATGTGCGGATTCACGATCGGGGGCCTATCGGCGATACATCGCCGATTCCAAGTCGACGCGTCCCCCCCTCTGCCAGTCCCCCCCAATCGTTGCGGACATCGAGGCCCCTCGGGTGGCGGTCAATAGCGACGACGACCCCAGCTTCTGATGGCACCACCGAATGCTGCTGGCCAAGCTCACCGAAAGTGCCAAGTGGTCCCGCGCCGCGCCGACCGACGCCGTCCAGGTCATCGATCTAGTTGCGCACCAGTTCGTCCCGTTCACTCGGGCGTGCCCTGTCCCGGACAGGGTTCGAGGCAGCGCGCGCCGCTTCGATCCGCTGACGGAGGACGAGCTGACGCAGCTGCAGCGACAAGCCACTGCCCCCGCATCGCTGCTGGGCGGGGTGGCTCCCGCGGCGGCTGGCCCGCAGGCGCATTGGATCGTCGCGGACCCAGGTTCGGACAGCTTCGGCCAGGCGGTCGCGGTGAACCCCATGACGTTCGCGCAGAAAGTTCCATTAGTCTGGCGCTGATCGACGACGACAGGTCCCTGACCTCGTGGCGTCGTGATATTTTCAAGGCGAGAGGGTTGTCTTGAAAGCTTCGTCACATCGTGTTATGATCGCCATTGTTTTAATGTTCCTCGCATGTCTTGCTTTTTCTTCCCATGTCGTGATTCTCTCGCGCATGCCTTGGATTCGGGGTATATGCCGCGTGGGCCGATCATGTGTGAGTCACATCGCCCACGGACGCGCCCGAACGCTAGTGTTTTGCATGTGCATGCGTCGGCGCATCGACGTGCGCCAGTCGAAACGTGAGCCCTGGTTGACCGAGCGCCGGATACTTAGTATCCAGAGGACCTTGAGCATTTCCTACGTTCGCGCACGCCGCCGCACGGCGCGCGCCGCGCGTGGTTCGCGGCGTCAAGTCGGGTCGGCGCGCGCCGCGCGCCGATCCATATTAACATGGGCCTTTACACGATCTGCCGAGCGGCGCCTGCGCTAGGGTGACCGCCCGCCGCCCGCCGCGCGCGCGCCTGCGTATTCCACCTTAGCGGTGTCGCAGCGGGTTTCAGGCGACACGAGATGCGTGCGTGCGTGCGCCTGCGGGTTGTGTCGGGTGCTCGCCCATTGTTTTCGACTGTCGCTGCGCGCAGGGTCGCGGCACCAAACAAGTGTGCCTGTGCGTGTGAAAATTGTGTGTATGTGTGTATGTGTGTATGTGTATGTACGTGTGCGTGTGCGTGCGTGCGTACATGCGTGCGTGCGTGCGTGCGTGCGTGTGTGTGTGCGCGTGTGCGCGTGTGCGCGTGTGCGCGTGTGCGTGTGCGCGCGTGTGCGTGTGCGTGTGCGTGTGCGTGTGCGTGTGCGTGTGCGTGTGCGTGTGCGTGTGTGCGTGTGTGCGTGTGTGCGTGTGTGCGTGTGTGTGTGCGTGTGTGTGTTCGCGCGTGCGCGCCACTCGCGCGCGCCCGATATAGAGCACCAGCTAACAAACACTAGGGGAGTAGGTGTCTTCAGCGGTGGCGAAACCAATGTCTGGTGAGCCGCTGGGTGATCACCAGCCGCCCCCCGCTCGCCGTGCGCTCCCGTTGTTTTCTGCGAAGCAGCCGTGTTGGCGTGGAAAACTAAAGTGAACGCGTAGCGGTGCCGAAACAGATTTCGGGTGACCCGCGCGGAACGTGGGTCACCCGCCGCCCGCCGCGCGCGCCCGTTGGTTTCTGCGCGTTCCCATATAGGTACACATCGCCATGCTGGTCCAAGACGCCCAAAGCGGTTTCCAGGCGGCCCAAGAAACCTCAACAGACGGCCCAAGAAACCTCAAGATACCCAAGAGGCTTTCAAGAGGTCTCCCATCAGAGCCCGAAGAGTCCAAAACACATGTCTATTCCATAGGTGTTTAAACATTGTTGGCGTTTCCGCCTTGTCCGCTTCCCGACGCTGCAGAACGTTCCAAGGGGCTCCGAGGATCTCCCCAAGACGGCCCCCAAAGATCTCAACAACGCCCCAAAAACGGCCCAAGAGGTTTCAGCGCGCAGAAAAGACGCCCAACACGGCCCGAGGGGGGCCCCAACCGTGGCCCAGGCTCGGGAACGGGAGCCGAGAACCCGAGATCTTCGCCCCAGGAGGCCCCCAAGAGCTTTCAAGAGGTCTCAATCAACCCCAAAGAGGCTCAAATAATCCCGTGAGAAGACACGAGGGCATTTGATAAGAAAACGAGAATTCAAACATGTGTTGTTTGAAAAATTGCTTCGCAGCTTCGTTACGTTTACAAAAAAACAAAAATAACAAAAATAATATAAAAAAGAAAAAAACATGTCCTATGTCCTCCTCCGCATACTCCTCCTCCGGTTCTTCCTCCTTTGCGGCCTTTTCCGCCCTCTCCAACCCTTCCTCGACCTCCTTCTCCTCCCCCCCCAGGGAGCCCCTCCACCTTGTCTTCCGGCTACGTCCAGCCGCGACGAGTGGAACTGCCCCCGAAGTGCCTGTCGGGCCGGTCTTAAGCCGTCGTGGGTGGACCGCAGGAACTGTTGGGAGCCATGTTGGCCGTTTCCGTGGTTTTTGGAGGCCTGGGAAAAATGTCATGGAATAGCGACCCCCAAGATTTCGACGACCCAGCCTAGCGAGAACGTGAGCGCGCGCGAAGCGCGCGCGATGGTTCTAATGCAGCGAATGGACCATGTAAACATGGATGGCGGACGATGGGACGGAGACGTATGTAAATTACACTACGGGAAAACAAAAGGGCGGTTAAGTCTGGGTGGTGGGTGGGTAGCGGGTGTGGAGCCTATCAGAGTGAAGGGGCCGAACGGTCATTCACTGTCCCGTGGTGCGTGGCTGAAGTGGGATTCCGCGGTGCGGATTATCGTTGTTGTTTGTTGTTGTTTGTTGTTGTTTGTTGTTGTTTGTTGTTGTTTGTTGTCGTCGTCCCACCCGCAACCCGCCCCGCGACCCACCCGCGACCCACCCCGCGACCCACCCCGCGACCCACCCGCGACCCACCCGCGACCCCCACCCGCGACCCACCCCGCGACCCACCCTGCGACCCACCCCGCGGCGACCCACCCCGCGACCCGCCCGCGACCCCCCGCGAACCACCCGCGACCCACCCCGCCCGCCCCGACCCACCCGCGACCCACCCGCGACCCACCCACCCGCGACCCACCCGCGACCCCGCGACCCACCCGCGACCCACCTTCGACCAAACCACGTTCAAGGTACAAACCACCATTTTCGGCGCCTGCGGCGGTTTTTTTTTTTTTTTTTTTTTTTTTTTTTTTTTTTTTTTTTTCCATTCCTCCCAGGTAGAGAGCCCGCGACCAACTCGCGACCAACCTGCGACCCAAACCACGTTCAGGGTACAAACCACATTTTTCGGCGCCTGCGGCGGGCATCTTTTGCATTCGTTTCATGGAAAGCCCGCGGCCCACCCGCGACCACGTTCAGGGTACAAACCAAATGTTTCAGCGCCTGCGGCGGGCATCTTTTGCATCCGCTCCCGGTGGAGAACCCGCGGCCCACCCGCGACCCATTCCACGTTCAGTGTGCAAACCAAAGTTTTCGGCGTCTGCGGCGGGCTGCTTTTGCATTCCTTCCAGGTGGAGGTGGAGAGCCCGCGACCCAAACCACGTTCACTGAACAAACCAATGCCGCACAAGCGCGGCGGCAGATTTTTGCATGCCGTCTGAGCCTGCAACGACCTCTTCAAGCCCCGCGCATCCACACCAGCCCGTCCAGCAACTTTGCCCTGGCGAGTTGCCTTGATCAGAGAAGTCGGGGAGCATAAAGTGGAAAAAAAGATTGCGTTGCCGTTATCTTGGGAAAGGAGGGGGAGGCAGGAGGAGTAAACAGGGGACGAGGAGGACGCGAAAGAAGAGAGGATGTAAGGAGAATGTGGAGAGGAGAGGAGGAGGAGGAGGAGGAGCAGGAGGACGAGGAGGGAGGAGGAGGGGGAGGAGGAGGACGAGGAGGGGGATGAGGAGGGGACGAGGAGGGGGGAGGAAGGGGGGAGGATGATGGACGACAATGGGAGGACGATGATGGAGGCCGATGAGGGGGAAGACGACAATGGGAGGACGATGATGGAAGGACGATGGAGGACGAGGAGGAGGAGGAGGGGAGATGATGACGACGAGGACGAGAGGAGGAGGAGGAGGAGGAGGAGGAGGAGGAGGAGGAGGAGGAGGAGGAGGAGGAGGAGGAGGAGGAGAACGCCATCGACAGGGAAGGTGGGGGCCACGAGGTCCGCCGGCTCGACGACGCCCGCGTCGCTCGCGCCCGCCCCCTCACTCTTATCCGCAATTGCGGGGTGCTACGTATTCTTCTGAGAAGGAAGAGAATCGACATTGTGCAATCTATATGGTGCGATAGATGCTGTGCCATCCATGTGGGGCCGCGACGGGGAGGCGACAGCGGCAACAAGCGCGGCGACCGATAGACACGCCCAGACGATTGACGGCGACGAGGCGGCCACGGGGCGTCGAAGGCCGCAACAAGGCCGCCAGTTCGACAGACAGTCCCATTACATAAAAAGATGTAAGAACCCCAGAGTTCAAACACTGTGTGGGCAAAGATAACAAAACCGTTGCTCGTCCTGGATGCCCTTCGCCGCCAGGGCGGCGTTCTCATCGATTTCCTGTCTGAACGCAAGCTCGGAGAGGTCTTGTGAGTAATGGCATCAGTACAATTTCGTGTCTTCATCGGTTTAGGGAAAGGAGGAACTTCAGCAGGATCATCCCTTTTCTTACGCTTCTCTTGCCATTACTCGGTTCCGTGAGTCGTTGGGCAAGTTGCGTTCGTTTAGGCATCGCTTGGACGTGTGCATTTTTTCTCGGCGAGGGCCATCGAGGAACATGTTTGACCATCTGGCAAGGGAAGCACGTGCGAAACCGACTACTCCACGGGAGTGGACGTCCGAGCGATGGAAACAAGTGGTTTCGGCCCGATGCCGCCTCAAATGCGTGCCCCCCCCCGTGGTCGCTACGAGCGTGCTAGTGTTATGGCACACGTGTTTCGCGTTCAAGGCACGCGCGCGACAGCGCCAGCCCCAGAGTCCCGACGACATGTCTTTTTCCATTACGTCGACCCCCAGAGGTTTTGACAATTCCCCGGGTCCGTTCTTCATCGTAAGCTGTTCTTTGGCGGTTCTGGAGCCCAGCGAGGGGCCCCAGAGGCCGAAAGGAGCAAACAGTTGTTCGTCGTGATTTTTCCCAACGGCGGAATTGCACTGAGTGGGCGACCTTTTTGCGTGCGTTGCATGCTTCCCCTCTCCGTCCTGCTTCCTCCTTGTCCTCTTCCTTGTCCTGGTCAATGTCATGTTATGCTGGATGCTTGCACGTGGCAGTCTTGGCGGGGTATCGCACAACACGTGTTGTTAGTGCCCGTGGTTGAACAGCATCAGGTTGGTGCGATCACGAAGTTTGTATGAACAAAGATCTTGCTGCAAATAGATGTATGTGGTTGTGCGGGAAGGGTGATGTATATACATATATATATAGAGAGAGAGAGAGAGAGAGAGAGAGAGAGAGAGAGAGAGAGAGAGGGAGAGAGGGAGGGATAGAGAGAGAGGGAGAGAGCGAGCAGGAGGATGCCGTCGCGGCCCCTCTCCTCCCCCCCCCCCTCCCACAAACAAGCGGGGGGTGGTGTCCGCGCCCGGCAGGTCCTCGCCCGCGGGGACCTTTCCACGGCCCGGAACCCGTCGGCAGGGGCGGGAGGGGGTCTGCGGGTTCGCCGCGCGACGAGGGTCGGGATGAGGGCCTCCTCTCCTCCTCCTCCTCCTCCTGCTTCTCCTCCTCCTCCTCCTCCCCCTCCTCCTCCTCCCCCTCCTCCTCCACCTCCTACTCGTATCCTTATTCCTTATTAGAATATACTCCTACTCCCCCCTCAGGCCGGCCATTAGGGGCCGCATCCGGGTGGTCCCATCCTAACCTGTAAAAAACAATACAAAATCAATATTTTTCTTATTTTTTCCTCTCGACATGGACGTCTTGTCGTCCACGGCGATAATCCATTGCAAAAAATACCACAAAGAGCACACGCGCGCGTTCATGTCAGAATCCTACCGAACACCGTGTGTTTGCAAGCATTTCAACATAAAAACATTAAAAACCCAATGCTTTTTCACCAAAATTGTACAAATTTCCCGCCCAGGCTCTCTTGCTGAAATCATTGGAAAACCATAGGAATCTTAAGAATTCGGTCGAATCCAGCGATTTCACGTCATCGCGCGGTGCACTCGCGATGCTCTGTCATGCACCCAGGCCGCGAATCCTGTGCAAAAAAATACCACAAAGAGCACACTCGCGCGTTCATGTCAGAATCCTACCGAACACCGTGTGGTTGCAAGCATTTCAACATAAAAACATAAAAAAAAAAAAAAAAAATGCTTTTTCACAAAAATGCTTTGGGGTGTCCTGTCAGACCGTCGGGTTTCCTCCGGCCACCTCTGGCTTCCTGCGGTGTACCGGGCCATTCTCGACTCGTCTGGCAATGCGTGCGCGGCATTCAACATGCGCTCGCCAGTTCCCGTCGGCAACCGCCATCGCGGCCGCATCAGCTGTACCAAACCGGCTGGCCGGTGTGACTTCGGTCCCCAGTTGTGCCAGCTTTGCTTCTTATGTTGTGGGAGGGCGGGTGGGACTGGGCATGCCATGCTTGACTCGCTCGAGCTGGCTAGCTTGACTCCTACTCCTACTCCTACTCCCACTCCCATTCCTACTACTCCTACTCCTACTCCTACTCCTACTCCTCCTGTTGAACCAGTTGAAATCAAACGACCGAGCAAACACAGATAAGTAGCACCAAGTCCCGATTTGCATTCGAATGCTGCGCCCGAAACTGGCTCTCGAACTGGCATCTCTGCTTGTAAGAAGGATAGACAGTGACTTCTCAGACGCGACGGTGCAAGGGTGGCCTGGGTACAGTTCCCCGTCTCCTCCTCCTCCTCCTCCCCCGCCCCTGAGATCCAGGCGTTGCAGTATTTTCAATCCCGAGTCTAAGCTTAGCTTTGGCGACGCTCGCCTCATTTTCAAGGCAGCGATCGGCTCTGAGTCGAAGTCAGCGTCTGAGAAAGCTGGATAGTTTGATGCGCCTTACTTTGCAAATCGAGGCACTGCCATCGTTAGTTTGCTGTCCCTGATCGGCTGCAGGGTACGGAGGGCTTCGCGGGTGGCCACCTTCTCTCGACGCCATGGTCTTCTTTCGGGCGGAAGTCGGCTTGTGTTGTTCTACGGGCAGGTTTGCCCATCGGGTCAGGCGAGATGATTCGACCAACGAACATAATCTCATTGTTGTTTTGCACCAGAAACGCGGCCACCATTGTTCATACAATCCGCGCGCCCCAGAAACGCTGTTGCCCTGGCGCCGCTGGGGGTCGCGGCCAGAGGAATACATCCCCGAGGGCTCCGCCTCATCGCGGACCCGAGCCAGCCCCGGCTTGAAATTCTCAGGCAAAGTTGCGGCCCGCGAGTCGTGACCCCGACAGAGCCTTCCCTGTTCGAGACCTCTCCATCGGTAGTCAGTGATTTGGGCGACAGCGCCGACGAGCTGCCAGTGACCACCGATCTCCGCGATCGGTAGTAATCCGAGTTGTCCCATGCATTCGGTTGTTTGGGGGTCACCGATGGGCGAGTTCGCTCTGTCGACGTCTGAGATTCGGACAGCCCCCTGCGGCGAGTCGCGAAGGGCACGGCGGATGGGCTCTCTGCGCAAGCGCAGCCGAGCGCAAAGTTTTCTGCCCAATATGTTCGGGGCACCTCGGAAGCATTTGCGCGTGCCTACGTCTTTCTTTCTTTCTGCCCAATCGCGCCAGCGAACACCTTTCTTTCTTTATTTATTTCTTTCTGCCCCGAACACCTGCGCGAGAAAAACGCGACAACGCCCAAATCTTCTGAAAACTTCAAGGGGAACCATTGATGTTTGCCTTTTGAGGCTCTCTTGGAGTGCTCTTCGAGGCCTCTTGGGGAGACTTCCAGCCCTCTTGGGCCGCCCGGACGCCGTAAAGACGTCTTGGACCGATCGTTCGGCGACTCGGGGTTCTCTTGGACCGTCTTGGGGGCCTCTTGTGGCATTCTTGGCTCGTCTTGGGACGTTTTTGGGCCCCGGGCCCCCCCAGGGGGGGTGGTATTCTGACCCGGGACCCCCCCTCCGGGATCCCCCCGGCCCCGGAACCCTTACCCCCCCCCTGGCAGGGAAGGGATCAAAGGGAAGGGGCTTCCTGTCGACTCAATTTCGACGTTGCTCAATTTCGCTTTGGCTGGCGCGCTTGAGGAGGAGGGCCCAGGAAAAGGGGAGGACAGCGACGGACCCGGGGAAAGAGGTAGAGCGGCGACGGCGACGACGACGACGACGACGTCGACAAAGACGAGTCAAACGGAGCAGCCTTTTCTACACGCCGACAGGGTCGGCGGATCTGACTTCAAAATCAGCCTGTAGGTGGGCATGCCCGACCAAGTTCCAGTGATTATTTGATGTCATTCTTCGTTGGCTAAACTATGCAGAGCGACATGCCATCAGTTGGCAAGGCATACTGTGCTGCTGTGGCAGTCGCTGCGACACGTTGAGCACAAGAACTTGTTGGCAGGACTGCCCGTGGCGGCAGTAACAGTATGTAGTAGCCGTAGTATTGTGAGAAGCGCGGCATGTCCTTACCGATGTCTATATGAGTGTATTTGTGGCATGCCAGATGGCAACTAGTTTGTTCTTGTGGTCTCTGCTCTTGTCAAGGGGGCCTGTGCACTTGGTTGCCACAGCCAGGCATCTTATGGCCTAAGAGGAGGACGCATTGGACATGAGGGAGGATCATGAGGATAAGGAGGGTTGGGAAGATAGGAACAGGATACCGAAGCGGGAGGAGTGCGATGGGAGACGCAAGGGGGCATAACCAGGAGGAGCAGGAGGGCGAAGGAAACAAGTGGCACGTGTGCCATGGCTCTTGCACAAAAGGGGGGGAGAAGGCGGAGCAGGAGCAGGAGGAGGAGGAGGAGGATGAGGCGGACGAGCAGGAGGACGAGGAGGACGAGGAGGGGGAGGAGAGAGAGGACGAGAAATCGGAAAAGGGTCGGGAGGGCGAGACGGTGGGGGGGACGGTGCGACGCCGAAATAATGTGGTCGGGGCTGCGGGGGGCGGGGTGCACTGGGCGGTTGGGAAAGGGGGGAGGGGTCGTGGGGGCGGGACGGTGGGGGCCGTGCGACGCCGAAATAAAGATGTCGGGGCGGATGTGGGGCGGGGTGGAGAGGCCATTGGACGGGGGGCGGTGTCACGTTGGTAGTGGTCCAGTAGTGGTTGTGGCCGGGCTATAAAGTGGTCGGGGCGGAGCGGGTAGAAACGGCACTGGACGGGGGGCGGTGCGACGCCGAGATACAGCGTTCGGGGCGGAGGGGTTCACGCTGGTGGTGGTGGTGGTGGTTGGTGTGGGTGGGTGTGGGCAGGAGGGGTGGGGCGGTGGGGGCGGTGCGACGCCGAAACATGGTGGTTGGGGCGGAGGGGGGCGGGGTGCAGAGGGCTCTGGGCGGCTGGGGAGGGGGGAAGGGCCGCGGGGGCGGGACAGTGGGGGCGGTGCGACTCCGAAATAAATTCGTCGGGGCGGAGGGGGGCGGGGTGGAGAGGGCACTGGATGGGGGGCGGTGTCACGCTGGTGGTGGTGGTGTTGGTCTACAAAGTGGTCGGGGCGGAGGGGGGCGGGCTGGACAGGGTACTAGACGGGGGTGGTGTCACGCTGGTGGTGGTTGTGGTTGTTGGTGTGTGAAGTGGTCGGGGCAGAGGGGAGCTGGGTGGAGAGAGCACTGGACGGGGTGCGGTGTCACGCTGGTGGTGGTGGTGGTTGGTGTGGGTGGGTGGGTGGAGGGGCGGGGGGGGCGGGGCGGTGGGGGCGGTGCGACGCCGAATTAAAGTGGTTGAAGCTCTAGACATCCTGTGCATAATAATCAGAGAAGGATACCGAGGCGGTGGGGTACGATGTAAGAGGAAGCTACGGAGTATGATGATGATGAGGAGGAGGATGAGGATGATGAGGAGATGGTCAACGCGGCCATGTGTCAAATCGGAATCGCCACCAACGTCAGCGCATCAGGAGGATCGGATGCGGAAAAGATCGGGGATGGGAATGACGATTCTGATTATGGTGATCATGATGTTGATGATGGTGATGATGCTGCTGATGATGATGGTGATACTGATGGTGATTATGTTGATGATGCTAATTCTGCTGATGCTGGTGCTGGTGCTGGTGCTGATGCTGCTGCTGATGATGATGGTGATGCTGATGATGCGGCTGTTGATGACGGTAGTACTAAAGGTGCTGATTATGATGCTGATGCTGCTGGCACTGATGATGACGATGATGACGATGAGTATGAGAAGATGCTGATGGTGATGATGCTGGTACTGCTGCTGATGATGATGATGATGATGACGACATTGACTGTGATGATATTGACGATGCTGATATTGATGATGCTGACGCTGATGATGCTGCGTATGATGATGACGATGGTGCTGATGACGATGATGCTGATGACGATGCTGATGATGATGCTGATGGTGATGTTGATGATGATGCTGATGAGGATGCTGATGACGATGCTGATGCTCATGCTGCTGATGATGATGGTGATGACGATGCCAATTCTGATGATGATGCTGATGATGCTGATTCTGATGATGCTGATGATGTTGATGATGAGGAGGAGTAGGAGGAGGAGGAGGGTGAGGAGGAGGAGGAGGATGTGGTGGACGGGTGATGAAACTCCGACGTGATTCGTCACGACGTGCACACCTTGAGCCTTGGACTCCTTCCCCGGGACAGGTTTTTCATCCCGGGTCGTTTTTGGGCCCAGGGCCCGGCGAGGGCTCCTGGGGGCCGAAGCTTGCCAAACACGTGTTTTGCACACCGCGAGGATGTGGCGGTCAGTCAGATCAGATCAGACCGACGACAATGTCTTGAAGCAGTGAGAGCCTCTCCCACACTGAACTCGAAGAGGGACGCGACGAGGATGCAGACCACCATCGGGCGGGGTCGGGGCAGGGATAAATCGATCCAGAGCGTTCCGAGTCGCTTTTAGAGCGTTCGGGAACGCTCTGAAAGCGTTTCCGATCGCTCTGATACATCTTCCATAACCGCTGGACGTCAGAGATCCCCTTTGTATCTCTGTCTGGTTTTGCCCTGGTCCTGGCCTCGCCTTGCACCGTGAGCGTGCCGCCAAGATCAGCTCGGTGATCGCTGCTGCCTGCACTGCTCCTCGGTTGGCGTTGAACTGCCCCGGAGTGGCTCCCTGTCGGCGACGAAAGCCGAACCCTAGCCTCGCCAATCAACGACTCAGGCAACTCAATGGGCGGCGGGGGTAGGGTTCGGAATTCTCGCCGAACACGCGGCGACAGACGAACCATACTCCTGCCAACCATCGATTCAGGAGAATCGATGGATGGTAGGGGTAGGGGTCGGATGTCGCCACCTGGTGATCACTGCTGCCTGCACTGCTCCTCGGTTGGCGGCGGATTGCCCTGGAGTGGCCCCCTGGCAGCTGGTCGGGCGTCGAGTAATGGGGCGAGAAAGTGGGGGGGGAGGATGGAGGATGGAGGGGGCGGGGGCGAGGGGGTAAAGGAAAGGTGAGCCTTTTGGTGTGCCCGAGGAGGGGCCCTGGAGGGGCCCCGTGGGGCCCGAGAGGGGCACGGAAGGTGCCCCCCTTCCTCCCCTTCCCATTTCTACTCGGCGTCGCTCGGACCTGTGCACGTTGCCCCCTCGGCGAGGGCCCCCGATGAGTGTCGTGGGTCGTGCTGCGAAAGAGTGCAGCGCACGCAGTCGAAGACTGCCCCTCCTCTGCCTCGTCCTCCTCCTCCTCCTCCTCCTCCTCCTCCTCCTCCTCCTCCTCCTCCTCCTCCTCCTCCTCCCCCTCCCCCTCTTTCCTCCTCCTCCTCCTTCTTATCCTTCCTCCTTGCTTCCCCCTCCTTCACGGCATGGGCGCCCGAGCGATGGGCGCCCCCGCATCATTGAGAGCCCGAGCGGGGCAGGCGGCGCTCCTCGCGCGCATCCGGGACGCCCGCGTCGAGGCCCCGCTGGGGCCGCCCCGCGCCGCGGGCGGCCGCGCAGCTGCTTCGAGGTTCGGTCTTCGAGGCTCGAGCCTACAGTGGAGACCCATGCTGTCAAACACCCTGCTTGCCTCCAGGGTGCCCCGGGTTTTCTGGGGTTTCGATGGTTCTGCTATGGACGTCCTGGGGTCTCAGGATTGGGCTTCTTGTGGAAGGTTTCTTGCTAACTGGCCTCCACTGTACCAGTCGTCGGAGGAGGAAAAGGTACCCTTACCGTGAACAGTGGGAAACCGACCCACGCCCCCAAAGCAGTGGATTTTGGATGCCGACTTTTGACAAATATGGCGAATGCGCGTAGGTGTAGGCGTCCTGTAAGCTAGGCCATTGCCAGCTGCCGCAGGGGGCGGGGCCCCGCGCGCGCGGTCTAGTTGGTCTAAAGTTCCTCATGTGGGGGGCGGGGGGCGGTTTTCATGCCTTCACACCGCTATCCTTCCATCGTGTTCCCCCTTTGTCGGCCTCCTGGGCGGCCCTCGTCGCCACCGCTGGATTCGCCTCGAAATCCTGGTCAGAACGCACCTGGGGGAGATCTGAGCTCCCCAAGCCGAGGTCGATTCGTGGGCCGACCCTGCCGAAGCAAGGGCACCCTCGTTCGGCCGCGAGCCCGGGGGGGGGGTGAGAGCGAGAAGTGGCGGGCCTTCTCGGAAGGCGAAGAAGTCCCCCTTCTCGGAAGGCGAAGTAGTCCGAGCCAGAGTAGGCGTTTGCTGCCTGAGGTGGGGGAGGTGGGGGAGGAGGAGGAGGAGGAGGAGGAGGAGGAGGAGGAGGAGGAGGAGGAGGAGGAGTGGGAGGAAGAGGAGGAGAGGAGGGGAGGAGGAGGTGGGAGGAGGAGGAGGAGGAGGAGGAGGAGGAGGAGGTGGGAGGAGGAGGAGGAGGCGAAGGTCGGAGGGCTTCTAAGAAGCCCCGCCGCCTTCTGAGAAGGCCCTGCCCCCCTTATTTCCCTCCCGCGCTTGCCCACGACCCGTGTCCTGCCTTCCGCGGCCCGTGCCTGCTTGCGTTCCTACGGCAATGTGGCCATCGGAAGGGCCTTGTGTCCTCTCGCTCGTGTCCTCTCCGGCCCACCCCGACTGTACGGGGAGGCTCGATGTTCACGCCTCGAGGTCAGAGTCGGCCTGGGGGTCTGCGGTGGCCCCGCACCGGTTCTGGCCAGCAGGACAGGTTTGGTTTGTTGTCCAGGCTGCTGCTCTCCAGGCCCTGGCGCGCCTGCACGTGCCGGGGAGGGGTGGGGGGGTCTGTGGGGGGCACGGCGAGGCCCGCAAGTTTGGACTTCGCCTGCACGCCTCGTCGGCCCCGTGCCGTTCGAAGCGGTGGCGGCGGGGTGGGGGAGGGGGAGATGCCGTGCAGGCAGCTTGCGAGAAGGTGGATCGGAACGGGGGCCGCTCACGGGCCCCGTGGCCCGTCAAAGACGGATCCGCGGTGGAGAAGTGCTCGAGATGGAAAAAGGGAGGCGCCCAGGGTTCGGGGACCGATTCCGGACGGATTCGCCCTGCTCCCCCCCTCTCGGGGGTGGACAGAACCCCCAACAGTGACACGTCGATTAGTGAATTGTCCGTTTTCGGCTTTCGAGAGGGCGCCGTGGCCGTTATTTTCCAGGCTTGCGCCCGCCAGGTTTGGGCCTCAGGTCGTTTTCACTAAACCACGTTTTGCTAAAGGGGGGTCTGTCCACCCGACCCTCCTTGACAGATCTCCTCGGGGCCCATCCAGTCCAGAACCCCCGGCCACCTCCAGGGTCTGGGCTTTCAAGCGTTCCAGCAGCCGTCGCCGGGAGCGTTCCGGGCCAGGGGCGCCAGGATCGGCCGGAGCTGCCTCCAGAGGCCCGAGGCCACCAGACATGTGGCCTGGAGGCAGGGGGACCAAACTGTTTCTTAACCCTCCTGCGTTGGGTTCCTGTTTCGGATGGAGCGCTGCTCGCGCGACTCCTCCTTCACGCCTACTCCGGATTTGACAATGAAAGGTGGGTGGTTTGATTTGGGGGGATCTGCGTGGAGCGGCTCCACTGTGGTTTCTCTTCGGTTTGGGAGGTTTTGCGCCGAAACCCGAAACACCTTCGAAACCTAATTTGGGGAAACAGTTTTTGGAGGTTTCGAGGTGGTTTCGAATCTCGCGTAACCTGCAAACTTGTTGGGAAAATCTGGTTTTCGGGTTTCGCGGGTTTTGAATACCGCTGGGGGGCAACCCCAATTATCTAGGTTTTGCGCATTCGGTGATTTTGAACCCGCTTTCGTGTCCTACTTTGGGTTGCGGAGGTTTCGAAAACCGTCCAAAGCCAAAACCTTCAGCACCTCGAAACCTCAGGCGCGTTATGACTGGAGTTGTGTTTTACAGGTTTCGCGGTGTTCGGAATCTAACCGAAAGCTCCACAGCCTAGGTTTCGGGGGTTTCGAAATTTTCCCGACCCTGCGACACCTGTTTTGTGACATCCGGTCTCGCCATTTGTACAGGTTGTTTGCGCTGTCATGGTATGCGGCTCTGGCTGAGCACGGACATCACGCGTGACGCTTGCTTTAGACACCGGCCATGACAAACCAGGACTGTTGGAGACTGTTTTTTCTAGGGTCCGGCGATAACCCGGGTTATCGGGCTTGCCCTCCCTCCCCCCCAAGGATAACCTAACCTTGCCGGTTGCGCAGGTCTGGGGTGGGGGGGCGCGGGCATATGCAAGGCTGCCCACAGTGAGAAGGTTAGGTTATCGGCCAGCCTCCTCCCCCCCCTTGGATAACCCGGGTTATCGCCGATTCACAAAAAACGGTCTCTTGAGATTGCTCCCAAGATGGTCTCGAGAGATGAATCGGCGAGGTGCTGCTGAAGAGGACGTTGGGACGCCCACCAGCGCCAGCGAGTCTTGCAGGTGTGTCCTATAGCGGATTTCGCTCTCCATTTCTTGGTCGGCTGACAGGAGGCCGCCACTGATTTGCCGGATGCTTGCAAGTAGCTTGAGCGATTGCCGAGATGCTTCCAAGACGGCCGGGATCTATAGCCAGAGACAAACCCAGGACGGCCAAGGATGCTCCCAATATGGTCTCGACGCAAACCGAGAGATGAATCGGCGATTTGCTGCTGAAGAGGACGTCGGAAACCCCACCAGCGTCAGCAGTCTTGCAGGACCATTCGATGTTTTTCTGAATCGGGGGGGTCCTGCAGCGGTTTTCGCTCCTCGCTTCCTCGTGGACCGCCTGGAGGTCGCCAATGATTTGCCGGATGCTTGCGAATAGCATGAGCGATTGCCGAGATGCCTCCAAAACGGCCGGGGTATTTAGCCTGGGATCTCTCGAAGCGCGCGCTGTCGGTTTCTTAGTATTATTCGTCTTTCTTTTGGCGGCTCGAGGCTCCCTATGCGCTCTTTCTGCGGGTTGCGCTTGTTCTGCTGGGCACGGATGGAGTTCGCGCTGACTTGCACAGGGCCTGCCCAGTGCCCTAATCTCAATAACCCATTGTTCCACATCTTCTATTCGCACATCCCAGCTGTTCGGGGGTGGACAGAACCCCCAACAGTGACACGTCGATTAGTGAATTGTCCGTTTTCGGTTCTCGAGAGGGCGCCGTGGCCGTTATTTTCCAGGCTCGCGCCCGCCAGATTTGGGCCTCAGGTCGTTTTCACTAAACCACGTTGTGCTAAAGGGGGTTCTGTCCATCCCCGAGCTGTCACAGAAGCCTTCGCGCAAATCGTTTGTGGAATATCAGTGTTCATCGCATGGTCACCATACCATCTTTGCAGTGAGCGAGCATGTTTTGAACCACATGTAGTCAGACGCGCGCGCGCCACGACTCATCGGCCGCAGAGCACGACCATGTCGCCACATCTTCCGCGCATGGGCGCACTTTGATCGAGGTGCCCGGACATGTTCTTTGTTGTTATTCAAAAGTCGTATGTATTCTAGCTCGCGCGCGCGAACTGCCATTCTTCAAAGTCGACGCCCTTCTGTAATACAGATCCGATGTATCCAACATGTAATGTGTCAAAAGTGGTACATGGTAAATCGTCGCCTAGACCGTTGGGGATGCACGCGCGACGTCATTATTTTTTCCCTGCCGCTTGTCTCCCTCCTTTAGTTTTCCCCCTCCGCCTCAGTCCCGGGCCGTCGCATGTTTTTACCATCTCCGCGGCATGACCAGCCAGGGTTCTTCGCGCTGTCATTCCCTTCAGCTTTTCTTCGTTTTCCTCTCAAGCATTTGCGCTGGAAGACGAGCACAGCAATCTTTGAGGTGCAAGGCATGTGGTGCAAGCGGTGTGGAAGAAGCAGGGTGGTGTGTGGTGCAAGCCACGTGGCGCACGCCGCGCGAACACCTGGCGCACCCGCCGGCGCACGGGGCGGCGTGGTGCGCCGCCGCGCGAGGCCCTGGAGCAGCCCGTCAATAGTCTAGAATGCGAAATTAGGAGCCATTGGTGCAGGCGCATTGCCCGGGGAAAAGTCGGGCCGGACGCCCCTTTTGCCCTTTCGTCATCCCCCCCTTTTGCTATCCCCCCTTTGCGCAAACCCCCCCTTTGCTATCCCCCCTTTCGCCCGACCCGAAAAAGGAGAACCGTCTCGATGCAGTCTCACCTTGGCGCACTCTCCTCTCGCACTGCACCATCTGGAGAGCCCGAGAGCTGTCGAGACGTCTCTGTCGAGGAGGTCGGCCCTGCTGTGGAGATCGGGACCCGGCGGGTAGGCAGGGAGCAGGCACGAGGGTGAGTCCTCCCTCAGGGGACCAAAACAATGGCATATACAAAGATTCAGAGGTCCGCACGGATCCCTCGGATCGGCGCTTGGCCCTCTGGTGGCGCCTCTGGTGCCGACCTTGGCGCGCTTCGCGCGGCAGGGAGGGGGGTCCAGCGCCGATTTGAGAAATCCGCGCGGACTGAGTTGGTATGTCGATGTCATTGTTTGTTCCCCTATCCCTGCACTGGGGAATCCTCAGCCTGCATCTGAAGCGCCTACACGGGCCGCCGCCGCTGCTGCAGCCCGCACGCGCGCGCGTGCCCTGGTGAGCCCGAGGTGAGAGGCGGAGGTGGCGGCAACGACGCTCACCGAGCGGGAGGCAGCGTTGGCCTTCCCAGCACCAAGGACATAGACGATTACGTCACGCTCGATCCTCAGCTCTGCATCTGTCATCGAGTGGGTGGTTGCCTTGATGTATGTGGGTCGAGAGTGGGGTTCCCCTGACGCGGGCGCGAATGTTCTGCTGCTGGCAATGTGAATGCAGGGGCGCTCACAGACATAGATCTTGCGTCCGCTCCTGAACACCTCCTCGGTCAGAAGCCGCACGTTGCTTTGTCTGTGTTTTCAAGGAGGCAGATCAGAATGATGATGCTTCTGCTGATGATGATGTTGTTGCTGACGATGATGGTGGTGGCGATGAAGATGGTAATGCTGACGATGGTAATGATGATGATGATGCTACTGATGCTAATTGTGATGATTAGGATTCAGATGGTGGCGATGATTATGATTCAGCCGCTGCTGCTGATGATGATGATGATGGTGATTATGATGCTGATGTTGATGGTGAGGATACTTATGCTGCTTATGCTTCTGATGTTGATGATGATGATGATGATGCTGATGATGATGATGATGCTGATGATGATGATGCTGATGATGATGATGATGATGATGATTATGATGATGATGATGATGATGATGATGATGATGATGATGATGATGATGATGATGATGATGATGATGATGATGATTATGCTGATGATGATTATGATGATGATGCTGATTCTGATGATGTGGACTATGAGGAAGTGGAGGAGGAAGAGGAGGAGGAGGAACCGCTGCCGTCAGGAGCAATTGCTGCTACCACGCTGTTTCTCGTTTCCAAACATTCCCTCTGTGCTGGGTTCCCGTGTTGAATAAAGCGTTGTTTGCGCGACTCGTACCGCCCCCTCCCGTGTCCCAGCTTCCTGCCTGTTATTTTGTCGCCCCCCCCCCCGGTGGTGCTCACAATTGCGCAGCTCCGCAGAGGTCAGCGGAGCAACGTTCTACGCACCCAGACGCGACTTCGCGCTCCCTCAGGGGATGTGCTGCCAACTGCGCAACCGTTGCCATGTTCATCAGCTCTGTTGAGGTCCGCGCCGCGCACACCCCGACGAGACCTCGTGCTCCCTAGGGAAGCTTCCATCTGCGCAGCCGTCGCAACGTTCGTGGGCTCGTGAGAGGTCCAGCGGAGCGACGTGCTGCGAGTACCCAGACGATACCTCGCGCTCCCTCGGAGGGGCGGGGCTGCCAACTGTGCAGCCGTCGCCACTTTCGTGCGCTCCTGGGTGGTTCAGCGGAGCGACGCGCCACGCGCACCCAGGCTGGAGCTACTTCTCCCCGGCTGGGAGGCCAACTGCACAACTGTGACCACTTCATCAGCTCGAGGAAGGTCAGCCCGGCGACGCGCTATACGTATCCAAGCGAGAAGCCGCGCTCCCACAAGGGGCTGCCAACTACGCAACCGTCGCCACTTCCGTGTGATCTCGTGAGCTCCAGCGGAGCGACGCGCTGTGCGAATCCGGACGAGCCCTCGCGCTCCCTGTAGGTGCTGCCAACTGCGCAGCCGTCGCAGCGTTCGTGAGCTCGTGAGAGGTCCAGCGGAGCGACTCGCCACGAAAAAAAACAGAAGAGCCCTCCGCTCCCCTGGCGGGCTGCCAACTGAGCAGCCCGCCAGGTTCGTAAGCTCCTTCGAGGTCCAGCGGAGACTATCGGAGGAGGGCCAGGCGATACAATGGCGGTACGGCCTGGTGCTTTTCGTCTTTGTTGTGCCTCCTGGAGGTTTTTCGTCGCCACATCTGGATCCGCGTCGGAAAAATAGGTCAGGCTGGACCCCAGGAGGAATCCAGGAAGAAATTTTGAGCGAATTCTTGACGCTTCGCGTATCCACACCGTCGAGGTGCGGGGCCGCAGCCACCGTCCGAAGGGCACCAAACGGTGTACCCCGCACGAGATCCTACACCAGTTCCCCAAGGCCTGGAGCGCCACTACGGGAAAATGCAAGAGGCACCGCGTGCACCCTGGGATGCAGAATCTGGCGCCCCTGCTCCAAACCGGCCAAGCGGCTCCACGTTGAGGCAGGGCCTCCTCAACTGCGACGGGCACCCGCTGGACTCCCCATCTCTCAGAGTCCTCCTGGTCGTCATGATGATCCAATTGCGCGAGCCGCGGACCACGCTTTGGCCTTTCCCCTACCCTGAGGCAACAGGGGACATTATGGAAGCAGCGATGGGCATCTGCGCACCCTGGCAAAATGTCCACCTGGAGTACAGGACCGCGTTCGCGAACTCCTGGGGTTTCACCCTCGACGCCCTGACACCCTCCACGGGGAATTCGAGGACGCCATCAAACACATCAGCAGGTTTGCCACGTACGCACATCACCATACCGTCGCTCTTGCGCACAGTTGCCCGCGCACGTGGGCAGAGATGCAAGACAGCAGGTTCCCACTGGAAGCACCCATGAGGATCCTGGAGGCGCTCGTCCGACCGGCCAAGGTCGCCTCCTTAGGTGAATTCGAATGCTCCATCTGCACCCTTCACAAGGAGCTCGCCGGGTCGGAGCAGGGCCTCGGGTGCCCCGACTCCATGGCAGGATTGCAGTACATAGGAGGTGGCATAGCTATGTCGAAGAAGCGGCTCGACGACGACAGACCAGCCTCCCCCGCCCCTGGAGTACACTTGAACACACCAAGGGTGACCGACGACCGTTTCACCAGCAATCTCAAGGCAACCCTCATCCGGTGCGACGGAAGTGACTGCAACAAGAAAGGGCTCTGGTACTCCGCTGGCACTCGGGAAGACGACGACAGAAGGGAGCTCCTAGCGCAGAATCGCGCCCAGGCCCACATTCTGGGCAGGAGCTGCAGGTGGCTCTGCGAGCGATGCTGGATCGATCCAGTAGAAAAGTAAGGCCTCCCCACGCCCTACGCCCCGCACGACTGCAACTCTGAAAGGTCCTTGGCCCTGCGGATTCAGGACTACAAGAACACCCTGCAGGGCAAGCGGCAAGACAGGAGGTCCATGGTGCTCCCCTCCCTGGCGCGCCTCCCTATAGGGTACGGGCGGTCTGCCCTGGCGCCAACCCCAACGTCACTGTGCGACCTCGTCATGTCGCCCCCCCCCGCTTTTGTCCACGAGCTGCCATCATGACGCTCCCCGCACACAAGTTGGCTGACGGGAGGCTTGGTCCCGGCGCCCACTCCACCGGCACCTATTCGGCCAGGTGCGACACGTGCCCGCCAGGGTCCCCCTTGCTGGCGTGGAGCGCAGAGCATCCCGCCCTAGGCTGCTTCCTCTGGCGTCCAGAGCCACAGGTACCCGTCTGCAGTAGCGCCGGTCCCCCCCCTTGGGAGCGGATGCCTGCCCTCTGGACCCAGCGAAAGTGGAACGCTAGCTGGTCCTGCAGGAGGTGCCTAACGCACATCTGGAATGTGGCCCCAGGCACGCTCGACCACATCCTCGACAAGCAGTCAGCTGACGTCTACCCCAAGGGCACCAGCCAAGCGGGAAACCCCGTCTGGCATGGACGTCGACAACGCCGACATCGCCCATCACCTCGCCCCTGGTGCCGCCGACGCGACCGCCGTGGGCGCCTACTCCCGTCCAGCGGACCGCGCCAGCGGGGTGCCTCCCCTCGCTGGAGATGACCGCGCCTCCCCCAGCGGGCGGCAAAGCCGCGAAGGCCCCAGGTCCAGGGACATCGGTGCCCGGCTCCCAAGTACCCCTCCGCCATATGGCCCCACAGTGCCAACTCGCTCCACGAGCGAGCTGCCTGGGGGGGGCTCCCAGGGCGCCCTCCCCTCGCTGGTCCGTTTCTTGCTCGAGTGGAACCCAGACATCAACAGGCGCTGGACTGACTACGTTCAGGAACACGGCGATGGGATCCCCGGCGATAGGACCGACGAGGGGTCCTGGCCCCCCCGCAGGTTGAGCCCCTTCCTGGTCAGCATCTACGGGCAAACGATCCCGGTGAAATGCCACCCTCCCGGGTCGTCTCCCACCTCTCACAGAACGACGCGTGCGCGAACATGCGGCGGACGTATATTGCTAGAATGGGGGGGCAGCGAGGCCTTGGCCCCTTTCGCCATGCGACCAGTACCTTGCTCGGATACCTCGCAGACATGGACCCCTCGGCCCTAGCCGACGGCGCCGTCAACTCCCTGGCGCAGCAGGGCCCTGTCCAGACCGCCACCAGCGCCGCAGCGCCGGGGGGCCCCCCCGCAGCCTGTTGGCTTGACGGGCGCAGCGAAGCGGCAGAAGTCACCCCCCCCCAAGTGAGACAAGCCTGGGACAGGCTGCACGGCGCGATGACACCTCCAGGCCGGTCCGCGAGGCACCTGGCAACGAGGGGGCCAAGAACGAACCTCAGACCCACGCAGCAGCAGTCGAACAGGGCAACGCCGGGCAGGCTTGCAAGGCAGAGGCGGAGCCACGGGAGCCCAGGGGCCCAGAGACACCAGACTGGAACGAAGACTCAGGGGCAGCGGCCGCAGCGGCTAAGGAGAGAAGCCCGCCGAGCAGGAGCCCCGGGCCAGCGGCCGCGGCGGCCACTGACGACGACCCCCTCGGCTTATTTCCAGTGGAACCCCCCATCCGTTCCCCATGGGCGCCCTGCGCGCAGGCCGTCGCCAAGGGCGCAGCCAGCGAGGGCCGCGGGCGACGCCGCGCAGACCAGCACGCCGTCTTGGGGCCAAGTCGGCGCCAGGGGCACCAACGACCCCAACCCAACCCCCTGGCAGCAATGACGTAACCGCCCAGACTCCGAAGACACTGGGGACGGGAAAGGGCGCGCAGCGAAGTCGCCCAGGTGGAACCCAGTGCGACTGGAACCGCGCAGGGAACCCCGGAAGGGCACCAGCGCCGACCGCCGGGCGTTCGGGGGCCTCCAAGACCCCCTGGGTGGCGGCCCGCAGATCTAGACAAAACGGAAGACATCCAGGTCAAGATTGCGCGTATGCAAAAGACGCTAGGGGGCGCCTTCAACGCTATGCGGCACGCATGGTCCACGCGCGCGGCACTGGACAAGGACGCCAAGGGGGGCTACACAAACAACCCCCTACTCAACGCGCCCGAGGCGGGCGCGTTCGACGCCTGGAGGCGGG